GTCTACATTGAATGTGAAATATTTGAATTAGTTTTATAAATCATTAGAAAAAATATTTTTATAGAGTTTTGAGGAAGAAAATAATATTGGCCACAAACACCGATGCAACTACTACAAGAACTCATACATGTAGATAGCAGACGAGTTTGAGCGCGTAGACGACTGAGCAAGCAGGAATAGCGCGAAGACGCAAAACCTTTGATCCCGCGGTGACACCTTTACATTGCGCGGACAACATGTCAATCTACAACAATACATCACGCGCGCATCGCCATGTCATCCCTATCAATGCGCAAGGGGTTGACATGTGGTAGCCATGTGGCACGCAAAGGTCTTACGATGTAGGTAGAACATATTTTGGGATGACATATGGCAGATCACACACTTGGAATGCCACATAAGTACGGATAACACGCAAATGCATGACACATAGGCTTAAACATGTCATTCAGATCGTCCACATAAACACGGGCACAACACGAAGGTAGTTGACGATATGCATGTTGCACGTTTAGGCTGACTTTCAATAAGGTTTACTTCGTATGACTTTGCAATAACTCATCATGTTTCTAAAAGTACTCTTCATGTTCATGTCCCAAACAACATCTCACACATTCTCTCCATTCATCATTCAAGTTCACACACACATCAATACTCTAAGATATTGAAAATCTTACTCTATCATTGATAAAACAAATATCTACACATGAATATTTCAAAATTGCTTTAGAACTCTTTTTCATCTTATATATATATATATATATTACTTGAGAAGTTAACATAGGAAAAAAAATGATATTTCTTATCTAAGTTAATTTTACAAAGATAAATCATGGTAGGTTTGACTAGTTCCCAATAAGTGGCAACATGTCACTGATCAATGTATTTGATCTCCTAAACCTTCTAGAAATTGAAGTGGCGACATGACATTTGAACCTTTCCAACTTCTAGAACCTTCACTTATCACTAGGTCAATTTTAGACTTAGTCTAACCAATGAAGTCTTCATCATTGTACTTAGTTAAACCAATCAAAACTAATCATGTAATCCAAATTTTTCTTGACTTGGAATCTAAACTTCTGTACAAGACAAAATAAAAATGCTCATTAAAATTTTCTAGAACTACTCATATCATTTTTCCAAGTATAGACATTATAAATAAACTTAGGTATAACTACATAAACTTAGTCATAATCAGCTAAACTTAATTATAACTTTGGCTACTTCTAATCCTACTTCACACATGTAAAAAATGATCTTATAGAGCATCAAACTAGACGCGAACAAGACACGTGATGCATATAGAATGCGTCGAGCGTGAGACGCAGGATGAGCCGTCATGTGGCAAGATTTGCTGTTCGAGCATGCAGTATGGGCAGTCGTGGGAAAGCACAAACATGCGTTGGCAGATTTGAGTAGACGCAAGGAGATCATGATAATTTTGGATATATTTGAAGAATATTCTATCCAAATATTCCATCTGTCATGAATCATCTGTCCGTTATTAATATTTCATCTGTGAGAATATTAAATCTGTAAAATAATCTATCTGATAGAATTTTGTTAAAATATAAGCGAATTATGTATCATTTTAAAACTCTCGACGCGACTAGTGCTTCTTGGTATATTTGGAAAAGTAAAAGATGACAAACAAAGAAAAAAACGCTGTGAAATCTAACAAGATTTTTTAATTTTGATGCAATAGAGATGGATTCAGATTAGATTGGAGGATTGGGCCATAATATTGTACCATTTGGGGAACAAGATGATTAATTACTTTGGAAAAGGCAAGTAAAAAACAAGTTAAAAGTCCATAAACCTTGTCATGTTGCTCAGAGAGAATACTATTAACATTAGCAATGTTGAATGGAGAAATTCACAATAACAACCGTATATATGATGATGAGGCTTCTAGATCCTTTGATTACGAAGCAAATCAAGGAGTATGTTGAGATTACACAGCTTTTTTACGCCCTTCAGCAACGATTTAATTAGAAGTAACTATTAAATATGTCGTACAAATACATGTTGAAGTTCAAGATGAGATCCAGATCTAGATTTCAAGATCACATTCAACTTTGATTATTTTGTGATAGATTTTCAAAGTATGAGGGAGAGATAAATAAGGTTTTACATCTTCTCAACTCGTTGTTTTTATCATACCAAACACGATCAAAGATACTCATCTATCAAAAACTAACACTTATAAGGAAGCTGTAAGTGTTTACTTGTGGAAGAGGAGGTAATGTCATCATCTCACCCATCCATTTCCGAGACGGCAATGATTGTGACTTGAAGTAGGTCATGTTCAAGGGGTGTGAAGGATCGAGTGAATGTTGAATGCAAGTGAACGAGATCCAGATCCAAGAGTATAATATTTTAGAATCCAACGGTGATTTGTTGAGGATGTGGCAAGAATGATCACATCAAGAGCGATTGTCATGTGAAGGTCAAAGGTGCAGTTTTCTTTTTATTGGCAAACATTGCATAACACTTTGAATCCAAAGAGTACAACTTGATGAACGATGATCTATGATAGTCAAAATGCTTTACATTTGACTGTGAACCATGTTACAGATAGTACAGTGAAGCAAATCAACATTGGATTTCATATTATCAAACAAGTAGTTTCAAATAAAACAATTGAGCTAGTCAAAACAGACATTAAACTCTATCAACATTGGATTTCATATTATCAAACAAGTAGTTTCAAATAAAACAATTGAGCTAGTCAAAACAGACATTAAACTCTATCTAGCTGTTGCGTAGACCAAAATTATTCCTATGGAATAATTTTGTTGTGACATTGTGCTACTATGCATGTTGTGCATGGGAAGTATATGTAGAGTTTGTTAGCATATTATTTTCAGTTGTTTCTTTATATAATTACACTATATTGTTATAGCTACGTCTTAGTTCTAGTTAACTCTTGGTATAAAGAGGTGTCTTGTGTTAGCTTTCTTTTAAAAGCTTTTGGCGGAGTAATAATATAGTATACACAGTTTATCTTTACCTCAACATGAATTAAAGGGGAGATTATTAATCTCAACAATCTCCTCATTAAATCATGTTGAGTGGGAGATAGTTGAGATTACCAGGTGGGTTTTGGATCAAACTGGAGCTAGCTAAGTTTAGCTAGCTTACTGCATGTACTGGCGGGTATATAACTCTAGGATTTTTGAACTGTAAATCATCAATTTACAAATTATACAAACCACATGCATGAATTCTCTACCGTGGACATAGCGTAAGAGGGTGAACCATGATGTGGAGACTTGTAGTATTGTCACTTGTATTTACAGTTAATTCTTGATTTATCACTGACATATATAAAAACTGTTTGTAGCTCTCTACACTTTTTCAACAAAATATTTATGTTCACATAAACTAAGTCTATGTAAATTTGATCCATGTATATATTTTGTGCTCCAATATGTGTGCTATGTGTGTATCGGCTTTGTGGATTTTACGTACGGAGTTCTACGTTAAAATTTAAGTCAAAGATGAAATTTGTTTCTCTTTTGTAGAAGAGCTTCAAGTAATTATGAAATCTTTTTAAGGTTTGAACTTTCACCACAAAGGTGAAGTTATATAAGATCAAGATGCATATCATATCTTGTTTGTAATATATTATCCACATATGGGATCATTATAAAAAAAATTAGTTTTTCATAAAATCCTCAAATTGTTAAACACTGACCTTTATGATCAAAATTTATCTTGATATCAACTGAATCCAGTCTGTAAGTTTTGATCTGATTTTGAAGAAACTCACCAAGGTATGAGTTGAATACACTTGTTTGACATAGTTTGTTTAAATACATCATCATTCCCATATTAACTATAAAATACTTGCATGATAAATAGCTGTTGGTGTTCTTATTGCAATCTTTAATTGTGTAGTTTACTGGTATATGTAACATGTAATTGAAACAGGGGCGTAGTACATGTTTGGACATTGCCTAGCATCGTCCCAGGCTGGGATATCGAGAGCGGCACAGAAAACCACTTAATAACTTCCAGAAAGTTATATATTATTCACACTGCCCACTTTATCATGAGACGGGCTGAAGCAGATCATGTCAGTATAAGTCGTTGTTAACGGAAGTGCAACGAGTTTCAAATCTATCGAGTAGTCAGTCGAAGCCTCCACAGAATTTACTGTTTTCACGCTTATGAAGCAAGAAGTCATTTTCCATCTTATACAGCATGAGAAACGAGAAAGCGATCGAATGCCGAGGAGAGGACTCTACAAACGATGAAACATAATCTTCTGTTTGGTCTTCCCATCCTGTTTTTCTACTCTGCTCGGTACGATCTTCCCATCTTCTGTGATTTGGAATCAAATTGTTTCCTGAACAGCTGAAGCGATATGAAGGCATTTGTTGTTTTCAGTCAAAGACGATTGCCCACTGGAACGATGATTGTACTCCGGGATTTTACTTCTGCAATGCGCTTAGCGTAAGCGTCTGTCTAGCATTGGATCCGCCCTTAAACTCCACTTATGCCGGAAGCTGCATAAGTGGAGAACACTTGCCCGTCGGGAACACTTGTTCCACAGGTTGCACGCGGTGGAATTAAGCTCCATATATAATTATGGACACTGGCACTCACGGTGGTCCGCAAAGACATCTTCATCATGCTGTTTATGAGAATAACACATTTGTAGTTTACGTTAACTGTGTTTTTAAGGTTTAGGTTTATTTTACAACCCTTGATGAAGATCAACATTTTTGTAAAAGACATCAATATTCAACAATTCTTGTTTTATGCTTGTACTTTACTTTTTATAATTTCGTACGTTTACTATTGTGTGACAAGTGTAACAAAATTACAAAATTCTTTAGGTAGACAAAATTGTTGTAATTTTGTCTCCCTAAACCCACAAGATACATACGAGATATTACATCGATGATCTCACACATGTCAAGAATTTACAGAACCTACAATTCCGATACCTCCGTACTCGCATTCATATCGAAGGAAACAAATTCCAGTGGATGCATTCGATAAATATGATATAAACTTGCCATGTCCATTTTGGAATACATGCCACGCACGTAGTTATCCAAGGATAGGGTCCAGGAGCTCACACTGGCTGCCAAAGCTTCCACCTGCGACTATTTAGAGATGAGAGGACTGTTCAAGTCTTGTTCACAGTCACGGGCCGGACGCAGTCGCGAAGTTATAACGCCGACTTAAGAAATGACAAAAAGGACGAAGACCCGGTCAAGAACGTACGCGGATGAAACGATTAGACATCAGGCCGGCTCCAGTAACATCACAGTGGAAGCTTTGTCCTCGCTTCGCGACCGCTCGAGCTAAACTAAACTTTCTGGAGAGAGAATACAGTCAAAGGTGCCGAAGCAATATGAACTCGTGGCATAATCGGCCGGACGTTCAATCCCAAGAGTCCACGCTCCAGATGTAGCTCATTAATCACATACTTGCGCTCGACGAGCAGTTGATCATTAACGAGCAGCAGCAGCAGCAGCAGAGACTCACGAAGTGCACAACTCGCGAGCGAGCGACTGCGGCAAACCGGCCTTAGAAATCAGACGGAAGGGCGTGGTGTGCACCGAAGGCGTGATTCTCATGTGAGAAAAATAAAATGCATGATGGGGATTTTATAAATCGGCACGTGTGGAGTCAGTGGCAACTTACGCCGGAGGTAGATGCTGACCATCAGACGGTCGTTACACCGAGTCGTTACCGAATGCTCAGAAGCAGTCGTCGTCATCGGCTCGATGCCGAGCTTCGCGAGCATCCCGTATGAGCAGCATAGTGTAACAATTATGGAAAATCGACTGTACCGCCATGTTGGACGGCCATCATCTGTGATTATGACCATGGGATCAATTAAGTTGACTCGGGCGGAGGTCCGAGGAACGACGCGATGCCATATCGATCCGCTCACGAAACGGAGCATGCGGGTCGTCTTTGACCGCGCGCTTAATCGCCGGAAGTATCAAGTCAGGCCCCGGGCCTCCGCTTTGACCATTTCTTCTATGCCCACCCCCACCCCCGCCCCGCCCCGCCCGTATGTCATGTGCCAGCACGGGGCGGGGCGGGGCGGGGCGCGGGTTCTAATGATGGGCTCATGAGTCACGAGGCGCGGCCGGGGCCGGGCCGTTGCAGCGCGCCGGTTTCAAGGTCGTTGAACCATCATCCGAAGGTCTGCGCCGGAGTCCGCCCGCGAACCAGGACCGCGGGCCGGGACGAAGACCCCCGCGCTCGGAGCGGCCGGGACGAAGACCCCCGCGCTCGGAGCGGCCGGACGGTCGCGGTCGCGGGGGAAGGGGGTGGGGGCTGGGGGCGGGGGGTTGCGGGTGGGGCATGGAGGCTCCATTCGTCTGACTGCGAGTTTCTCTCATCGCGGCCTCTCTTCTCCCCGGAGAGAATTTCTCCGCTTCCATGCCGAGGCAGGCTCGCTCTGGTCTGTCACACGCTCTGTGGCAGGCAATTCCCGGCCTTCGTCTCTGTCTGGTTCTCGGTGTTGAGGAGGGCCGAGGGCGAAGGAGCTGCTTCTGCTGCTGCTGCTGATGCCGATGCCGTCTCCGGGCGACGGTCGAGCGGAGGGAGGGAGGGAGGGAGGGAGGAGCGAGCGCGACGAGAGGAGAAGCCCGATCGCTCAGAAGCAGAGGAGAAGCGAAGGTGTCGGGCTGGGACGAGCGAGCGAGCGGTGCGCGGGGGCTAGATGAGCCGGGAAGAACCGAGTAGAGCAGGCCGACGTACAGTCGTAGTGGCAACAGGAGACTAGGCACTTGGGACTTGGCTTGCCTTGGCGGGCGGAGGGGGGGTGGTCGTGCGGGTGGAGTGCGTCTGTGTGACCTGCAGCAGCAGCAGCCCTCCGGTAGTTGTAGTTGTAGCACCGTCGAGGGCATGGCGGTCCCCTGTTGTGGACAGTTTGCCTCTGCTGCTGGCCCGGACCTCCATCGGCGGACGAGATGTGTGTTCGAGCCTTTAGCGTTTTGAGATTGGGTGTCGTGGTTGGGGTTGAGTGTGTGGGGCGTTGATTGCTGGCGTGGGCGTCGGTTCCAAGCGCCTGGAAATTGAGGCGGATCAATTCATGGGGTTAGTGTCAGATTGACTCTGCGTGGTTCCTGTGCGAGAGTCCTGTCATTTTTCCCATGCTGGGGATGTGGGAGTTGGACAGAGTCGAGTGTTTTCGCGTCCGGGGAGGGCTAGGTCGCCATTGTGTTGCTGTGGGGAGCGGGAGCTCTCGCTCATCGACGACGACGCCATGGACGAGTTCTGCGGTGGAAGATTATGCGAGCGAGAAGCAGGCCGCAACCCAACGTGCCATGACGGACAGGGCAGGAGCAGTGTGCAGTAGTGTTTAGGGCATGAATGTTGGGTGGAAACACTGAAAACTTTTATCATGACGCGATGGAATAGCTGTGATGGGGCCACAGGTAAGCCCTTTTTACCCCACATCTGAAGCTTCCAATCGATGTGCGGAAGAAATCAGCGATTTCATTGGTGAGCTTTCTTTACATATGAGCCATGATGATGCCGAGGAGACTATGGGTTTAATTGAAGCTGGGAATGCAGGCGAGAGTACGGAGTTTGGGAATGTAGATACCAGTAGATTGAGTGTAATGTCTTCGGAAGACACGGAAGTCGGAGAGGAGGGTAGATTTTGCGACACCAGTAATAAAGTATGGAAACCCACAGTATGGAATTCCCATTCGGCTCCCCCGAGTCCCGTCGGACGCAGCCCCAGGCCTCCTCAGCCTTTTGTAAATGACATAGAAAAAGGGGGGCCACTCCCCTTTCCCCTGACTCCTCGTCCACAGCAGAGTTGTAAGGCGAGACCATCTCTGCCACCGTTGCAACCACTGTCCATCACAAGGAGAACCTATGAGGAATGGTCCATGGGTGCGTACGATGACCAGGGGGGTGTGTGGAATCTACCAGGCACCCCATCTCGAAGGTGGGAGAACAGGGGTAAGAACGGTTTGGACATCAAGCTTGATATGGGCGCTGTACACCGCAGTCGAGATCAATCAGAGCCTTCTGAATTGCAGCTCAGGCGAGATAAATTTGCCTTCTTCGATAAAGAGTGTTCTCGGGTAGCGGATCATATATACCTAGGCAGCGATGCCGTCGCCAGGAACAGAGAAACACTGAGGGCCAACAAAATCACGCATGTACTTAATTGTGTGGGATTTATGTGTCGGGAATATTTTCCCGAAGATCTTAGCTACCTGACTTTGTGGTTGCAAGACAGTCCTTGCGAGGATATCACAAGCGTGTTGTATGATGTGTTTGATTACTTTGAGGAAGTCCGAGAGCAAGGCGGCCGGGTGTTTGTGCACTGCTACCAAGGAGTATCGCGTTCTACGTCTCTGGTTATAGCCTATCTCATGTGGAGGGAGGGTCAAAGCTTCGAGGATGCATTCCAGGATGTGAAGGCCGCTAGGGGTGTCACTAATCCTAATATGGGCTTCGCTTGCCAACTTTTGCAAGCTCAAAAGCGAGTGCATGCTGCCCCGGTCAGTCCAAACTCCGTGTTGAGGATGTACAGGATATCACCCCATTCAAAGTACGATCCTTTGCATCTGGTGCCTCGGACCGTGAATAATCCTGGAGAATCAGCCCTTGACTCTAGAGGAGCGTTCGTTGTCCATGTTCCGAACTTCATTTTTGTCTGGCAGGGAAAGGCTTGCGAACCAGGATTGATGGAAGCGGCGCAGGGGGCAGCTTCTCAGGTTGTGCGATACGAGAGGGCTCAAGGGGCCATAATTCTTGTCCGCGAGGGGAGTGAGCCCCCGGAGTTCTGGGATGCTCTTCGAAGAGGTGGGTCGGCTCAAGATTCTTGTAAGGCTAGAATGGATGCGTGTAGTTCCGTGCTCTCTCAAGCTGGACACGGGGATGGATCCAACAGCTCTTTTGTTGGGGATTGTGGCAGTGAAGACTCTGAGAAATTGCTAGGCACGAGTCTCAGATATGTTGAAGCCTACGACGAGGATTTTGAGCTTTTCCGAAAAGCAAAACTAGGAATAATAGCAGCCCCCCCTGTATCAGGAGGAGCTATTACACAGGTGCCTCCGACAGACAATGGCTGGAGTCGTTTACGTTGTAAATTTTTTTCGGGTCCGAGAGGTAAACTCAACGGTTCTTTTCATGAACGACAAGTGAAGCAGCAAGTAGTTAACGAGTTGTTGAAGGGAACTGAGGATCGAATTAGTACTGAGAACAGATCGCCGGATGGCTGCACTTCATCTGCAAGCCCCGTTGCTTCTCCAGATCCGTCTCTCTGTTCTAATTCATCACTGTTTTCTCAAGAGTCCGTATCTTCTGCATCTTCTTGTTTCCCTTCACCGGTGTCCAGCTCTCAATCTCCTTTCCCGTCCCCCTCGCTGTCACGCATACCGTCAGGCTCCTCGCAAACTTGGTCCCCATCCGCATCCGCAAACCCATCTCCCCCATCATGTCCATCTCCTCCTCCGCTGTCTGTTTGTCATACACCTGAAGAAGCAAATTCAAAACCCTTATCGCAGCGTCCTCCATCTGCAACCCAATCACTATCCCTGGCCCAGCGCAGAGGAGGAGTATCCCCTTCACTGCGTTTGCCTGCATTAGTAGACGATCCTCCAGCGACTCCTAGAGGGGCATTAAGGAGACCAAAACTACCTCCTATTACCGTGGTCAGGAAGCCAGTTCAGGGCGATATTCTAAAACTTAATGCAGGCCTTCGAAATAGATTGGAGGTTCCTGATCGATTGAGTACAACCTGTGTGGACGGGGCGGTTGATTCTTCTCACGGCAACGAACCTTCTGAGCTGGGTGAGTCTTCAAGATCTAAGCAGCAAGGGGTTTCTCCAGATGAGTTCTTTGACTGCGAGGACAGCGACACGCCCTATTATACTCCATTTGCAGCAGAACTTAGAAACTCGATTTCTTTTTCGAGGAATGCGTCCCACCTTTCATGGGAAAGCTCTTCGTGTCGCTCATTGGCTCTTGATGACGAGGAGGGAGGCTCGCCGAAGCTATTTGAGTGGCCGAGGATGGAGAAGATCAATATGTTCGATATCGATGATCTTGATTCGAGGGCCGCATTTATTCTCTGGGTACCAAGACGAACTCGGGATGATGAGGACAGTGGAGTTGAGAGCTCAAGTCAGGTCTTTGTCTGGATCGGAAGAGAATTTAGAGCAGATGGTGGAGACACACCGGAAGCAGTCAACAAGAGCTCTCACGAGATTCAGCAGCTTGATAGCCAACAAATAGGAAGTGACTTTCTTGAACAAATGCGTCTACCGAAGGGAATCCCCATTATAGTAAGCGATCAACCCTTCTCGTCAACCTTTCCTGATCTTTCGCCATCTACAATCTGGTCGATTCATCAGTTGTTATGAGCGAATGCTGAGCACTGAGTGTTCTGCCTGACGGCTCTCTAAGCTTCAGTGTTGTCTTTGCATATTCGTTAAGTAGAGCGCTAGCTGATTATTTCAAAGGGTCGGGCACTGCCTAACAATTTGAAGCATCTGCAGGTCGTGGAGGAAGGAGCGGAACCTGAGTTTTTCTGGGAGAACTTCAAAAATGGTTGATGTCTTCAAGACTTCTTACTTATAATTCTACGGGTCGAATCATCAGGAATATAACTCCTGCCTCTTGCAAGGTGTGGACCAGCTTCAAGTCAGGTTCACTGTACACGTTGACTGGAAATGGTAAAGGAACAGCATATTGTGTGCCATTGCAGTTGGTAGTTCTTGTTGTGATCATGAGTTGGAGATCAACGGTGATCATGTCATTCAGTGTCTTGTAAGAGGAGTTCCAGTGAGGGGAGCCCTCTGTTGTCATAACAAGACGTATGGAGGTCGACAGTGTGTACAGAGATGCCATCAGAGAGCACCAGCTGTATGAACATGTCCACATGTCTTGGTGCTAACCGGTACAGACGCTCCAATATTGATGATTTGATCAGCAGGGCCAAGAGCAGCTGACCAATCAATGCAAGCTTTCAAGGTGCGATCATAAAAAAGGTCACATCTACTTAGGTCTGACAGGCAAACAGCTTTTCTTGTGTTTATGCGGAGTTAACGGCTCAGCGTCATATCTGTGTGTTTGCTGAAAATTTTTCAATGTGACCCTTAACAACAAAGGCACCATTTGGTCAATCATTGACCTCTGAAGATACAGTGGTACAGTGGTAATCTGCCTACGAATATTGGGGAGAAGCTGCAACTGCCTCAAACATGGCTTTCAGCTGTTGGGCTAGTGAAGGGAAGGCTTGATGTCAAGTCTGTAAATCCTTGGATCCCATTGGTGCTACCCTAGTTGGTGCACTTGGTAGCGATTACTGTAGGACCCTTCAGCTGGAACGGCGATAGGCAAAAGAATTTTGTTGGTAGTGGATCCGTGATATGTCATTTTTTCAAGCACAAGTCACCTAAAGTTCTCAAAATACTGATTGTTGTGCATAACATGTGAATCTCCTGGAAGATTGTCGTTTCAGTCTATATCCTGGAAAGCTTTGCACTTCATTTATCGGTGATCTCTTTTGTCGTAATTGGTTGTGTGATTGTCGTAGGATTGAGGTTGCCACTTCAAAGTAAGCATAGGTTATGAAGATAAGAAAGTAAGATATGGAAGACGAGAGATGACGTTCATAGAGTTTTGGCGGGTTAAAGGTCATACTTCATCTCTAGATATATCAAGTGATACCTCATGTGTTGTCTTTCAAAGCCCATTGAACTCTTTTCGTCCAAGTTTTGGGCAGTATCTCATTCGAATTCAGATCAAGGAACAAGCAGTGTAATCGTCTTTTGTTTGGTTTCATTTGGAAAATTCTCCAACTGGACGACCACTGATATGGTCGCATTCTTCTGAAGGATGTCTGACTAGACGATCGAATAGACTTTCCGACATGGTCATTGTAAGAGTGATTAGGTTGAGAATGTAATAATTTCTAAGGAAATATGTGTAATGTGGATAAATAATTGCATCAATCGAGATAATTTTAAGAAATTTGAGAAGAGCCGAGATGTTTACACTTGGAGGCCGGAAAGCTACTTCTTAATACGCGGAAGTTGTCGAAAGCGTTTCAGATCTAGGTTTGACCGTTTCTGATCCATTAGTAATAAAGTCTTCTCTCCTGGAGATGGCCGTGTTGGATTTACATCGCACTTGGAATCGCTTTTACTTGGCCTTCGTTATTCATCATATTTCAGATGGAAGGTTTGGTTGATGAGATTCGCTTGTGACCGCAAGCAGCGTCTTCTTTTCACCTGTCTAGAATAAGATGTGCCAGATTGGTGATTCAATACATGGACAGTTGCGTCTTGCTTCTTGCGTGTTCAACGAAGGTAAGCACATGGGAATCTGTCTACATCAACTATCAAAAGCAATTAGGTTTTAATCCCACCGTTTAGTAGCCAGTTAAGCTCTGCTGGCGAATCCCACCTGTCATGATAATTCGTTGACACTATGTTGGGGTCAATTCGATCTCGTCTCAGCGAACAGGCGTAATGGTTTGATACGACATCCAGCGGGTTGCCAGCTTCCTTATTTTCGGAAGTGAGGCTTTCATTTACTCAACTAAGAGTAAATGTACAGATGTAGCTTTCTAGTGTAACTTCAGCTTTTTGTTCAAGCGCGGAAACAGTTCGTACGTGCAAACCGACTTCCATCAGTTTCAGCCCACATCCAAGGGCGTTCTACCAATATCTCTGGAACTCTTGGACTATCACACATGGTAGGGAGGAAGAGAAAGTAAGCAGAATCAGAAGATGAAGGATACAAACTGATTCGAGCATTATACACGTCTAACCAAGCATAGCTTGTGAGGATGGCCGACTAAATAAACAAGGTAACTTGGAAACTAGGCAAATTCTCTTGACTTGCGCAAGCAGGTTTTTGGTGTGGTAGCTAAGAATATAAATGTACTGCTGTAAACTGTGGGGGTTTATTCCGACAAACCTTAGATGCTTTTGAAACATGTTTGTGTAGATCTGCTTGTACGACATTTGAATATCCCGTGGCGTAAACATCATTCACAGGCGTTACAAAAACTTTCACACAGCACCATTTCATCATTGAGAGTGAGTTACATCCAGCGTCTATTAAAAATGATGTCATCCGTATATTCATCAGATAAGGATCCGGTGCAATATAAGAAGACAATCTGCAGGGGAATTCCATGTCAAAACCAACCTAAAGCTTTGTTGCATCAGAGCTCTGTGATTGCCATCCCCTCATGAATCGTACAGTCTTCATAGAATTAGTCGAATTTTGAATGCAAACAAGTTGAAAGGTAGAGAGTTACCGTGTGGAAATATCAGAAGACTGATACTGCGTGGTAAGATAGTAGTCATCATCCAATGGTAGTCTCTTCTCAACCAAGCAAAGAACTACAAAATAGGGTTAAAGGTTGGAATTTCTGAACTCTTCCCTTTGCAATCTGTTAGTCCTGCCAGAGGATCATGAGTTAAGAACTAAATATAGATAGAAGATCATATTACAGTATAGAAAGATATATCATTTCCAACAATAACAGCCAGTAAACTAAATTAAAGGACATGACAGATAAATATTTCAACAGTGATGCTCTTCACAATGAAAACAATAGGACTCCGATAGATAAACATACAATGCATGTAAGAACCTTGCTTTAGGAGCAGAATCAGAGCAAGGACTTACAAATTAAATGAGTAACACCTAACAATTTAGATTTCGGACAAACTCGACGAGGTGGTCTTCGGCGGATTTCACAACTATAATCCGGTGTAAATCATAAGACGTTCAATGATATAAAAATGATCCACTAAAATCGTTCACCATAATACCATGAAAAGGAGGTCTTGACAACCCTCACAAAATAGGCCAGGGTGCCTTTTAAAATTCATCATTTTCATTGTTAAGCTTTGGTCTAACCTGTCAAAAGCTCTGACCACGGCACACTTTAGATGACTTTGGAAAGTGCCGACGACAGATACTGATCTCGAAAATCTCATAGCGAATATTTGCACTTCCGGCAGTGTCTTGATTTTTCCATAGTCTTTGATGTATATTATACATCAATTATTAGAAAAAATCGTGAATGCAGTTTGAAGGGCTTCAGGCGGCGCAGTGGGTACTCTCCCAATAATTACGTAAGCGCATCCCCTAGGTACACACTTTGTCGCCAATATCAAACTACTCAATCGCAGAGAACCACCACTCCAATAGTGTACAAGTTACAATGTGTTCGGTTGCAGTGGCGCACTCCAGGGAGGACTCTAGGGGCAGATGCAATCAACCACTCTAGGAAGGTCAGATAGAGAGATATATGCTCTATTGTCTCAACAATTCAAGATTGAACCTCATGAGCAATAGCCACCGACAGATCAGCAAAACTATCTTAAACATAAGTGACATAATTACAGTAATACTCAGATGTTTGAGCTACTTGGAAATTTTAACCATGCAGTCCTACGGCTTGGACCAAGTGTTCACTTCGTGACACTTAGTCCATGCCATAGGACGTCCAATGAAGAGACCAATGAATACAAAAAAATTACTGTCATATGTGATCATTTCTTGGCCACTTTTACAACAGCATTGATATCCAAGACACAAATGTAAAAGAGTGGTTATGCAGAACTCAGGTAAGTAGCCAACATGATTAAAGCATTACTCACCAGATGGAAGTGGTTGACATTTTTAATGTACTTTCTCTTCCTTCTTGGGTGGTTTCTCTGAAGGTATTGACCCTGCCTCCATTTCCTTGGGTTTTACTGGCTCTCCCCTGCAAGTAAAAAGAACAGACATTGACGTTATTTGTTAGTGACGAGACAAAATTGGTGAATAAAGAGTGAGATAAAGGAATCAATTCCAGTAACCAGAACAAAGTACTGCACAATCCACCAACACAGAACAGAGGCTAGTCGATCCAATATACAATGTCAATGAATGGAGCCTCCTTGATCTGATACGCCATCAACATGCGAAGTTAATATCATTGGTGACTATGAGACTATATCCTGACACTCTATCGCAGGGAACCATTCACAGCACCGAGATGTCCATAGCTATTTCACTGTAGGGAAAGCCTTGCATGACTCTTTGAAGTTCGTTACGTCCTACTCTGGATATGTGGTATATTACGCCCCACTCTTTTGCATTGATAATTGTTTCCAATTTGATGAAGAATACAAACTAGGTGGAAATGGAGAACACTGTCACCGCTATCTCCTTCAGCATCGCACAGAATTGAATTTTACAATAATTTGTAATTTTTTCCGTCCGTGCAGCGACTTCTATTTTCCTCTATCTATACACATGAGCTCAAACGCAAAATGTTTAAATGACGCAAGAAATTGTCTCCGATTAGTATGCAGGCAAAATTCAGATAATACAGGAAATAACTTTTTCCAGAGAGTTGTTTGAAAACTAGGAGAGAGGAATGTAGAGACTGATCGGATCAAATTTCAAATCGAAGACTGGAGAAGAGACATGAAAGAACTAATTCATCTTTCCAGGACCACGGTACTTGTATCCCATTGTGAACCAGGAAGACAGAAAAAAATCAAGTGGTGTAAATCGACCACAAAAACTCGTTTCCCGAACAACAACAACCCCAGTCTTACTTGGATGCGGCTACTTGCTCCGTTTCAAGCCATTCGCGAATGTGACGAAGATTGCGTCGCAGCGTAACAGATGACTTCCGCACATCCCCACGAAGCATGAGCACTATGGCTCCAACCCCGACTACTGTAACTAAGAAATTACTCAGCGCCATAATGGTCCCCTTGAGTCTGCTTCACATTCCAGAGCAATTCATTACCTGCTGAGAATCTCTGCAGCTCTGTCTGAACCCAGTCACACAATCCTTCCGCCACAACAGACTTTTGTGATCCAAGGAGGGCCGATTTCTTGAGAGATTATAAAGTGGCAGGCAAGCAAACAAACATTCACCCACGGACGGAGCGACAGAGGAAGACATGTGCCAGACACCACCCAAAACCCCGACTTGCACAGACGCTCTAAGCGATTCAGGTTTTGAGCATCAAAAGTACCCCAAATCCCGACAACGGACGGATTGCACTACAGAGAGAAGTACAGAAGAACAATCACAGTGCAGTACTGGAGTGTATCGACCTCCAAAAATTAATCCACTGCTAACTAATGCACTCCGCGCTTAAAAAAGCCACAATATCACATAATTATGATTTTCTACCGATTCCCGGATCTTTAATTTCTATTGCTGACCTTAGACAAAGAAATATTGGAAATAATATGTATATCATGTTGCATTTAACCAAATCATGAAATTTTGGGATCTCTAAATTAATAGTATAACATGTCTTTACTAAAAGAATGTGGTATAAACAGAAGATCACTTGATTCAGTTTTACTGATCCAAATTATTTTTGTGTGTAAAATTGAAAACAAATTATCTCAAATATAAGCTTCGTAATTATGAAGTTGTAGCAAATGAAGTGATTAAAAATGTATACCTTCTGCTAAACTTAGTACATGCAGATTATTACAGCAAATTTAGGCTGAGAAATAAATATATTCCCATGATACACAACTTTGCAATCCATTTATTAGAAAATGAAAGATTTAATCTATTAAGATACAATTTATTGATAGTAAATTATTAATTACCCATTGTGAAACTTTTGTAATTATCTGATTGTACCTGAGCAAATTAAGAAATGTGAATTTGATTCTTCTTTTTTATTTAAGCTCGTCGGTAGATGTATGGACATAAAATTTCTACTTTTTTATTCTTCAAAATGTATTCAAAACTAAAATTCTATCAACTCTTGTAATTTTAATTGGAAAATAGGAATGTATCAAATATGTAATACCATAATCGTGATTAATTATCATGTAGTCTTCACCACTCTATGCAATGAACATATGTTGGCCGCGTTAGTTTCACATGCGAGAAAATACATACTCTGATATGAATTCCGGAGAAATATAGAGATATGAGCATATGCAATGTAAGTTTATGCTACTCTTCATACTTATCAATCCTACTCTTCACTTTTACACTTTCATTCATTTCTGGTCTAGATTAATCCCTTGGTTTTTTGCTCGCTTTTATATGTTCTTCATTAAAATCTTTGTCATGTCTTTAATATAATATATACATAGGTTTTGGTTAATGTCATGTCTAATATTTATAAAAAATAACGGTTGTTAAAAAATAAATAAATAAAAATTAAGAGTTATTTCATCTTAAAATTAAGAAATTTACAAATTCCAAAATTTTATGGAAGCAAGCGTTTTTTCATTTCGGAATTAAAGCCTACATGATAAAACAAAAAGAATATAAAGATTTAGAAAATAATTACAATGAATGTTATGTATAATTTTTTATTTTCTTGACAGTCATATATTTTTGAAATCAAAATTTTGTTCTATTTACAACACAAGTTAAAGAAATGATTGCAATAGAATAGTTTTATTTAGATAGATTACTTTTTTTCCATATTTCATGAAAATGATCTGGTTGAACAGACTACATTCAAAATCATATAGCGAGACAAAATTTATTATGAATTTTTAATTTATAAAAATTTAATAAACACGTTTACAAAAACAACATAAGATCTTGCAATTTAATTCAAAAATAGATTCGCGAAAATATTCAAACTGTTAGTAGTTACATTTCATTTCAATTTATTTGAATATAATTGTAACATGAACATAATTTCTTAAATCATAATTAAAAAGAGAAGTACACTCATTAAAATATTTGTTATAATTTACAAAAAGTTGAACGTTATAATAACGTCATTTTACAAAAAAACTTTATAACCAATCATGTGATGTAAGAAAAATGTAACTCTATATATATATTACGATCAAAGTAATATTCTATTGACTTAATTTTTTATACACGTTAAAAATATTTGAAAAATTATTCAAATTCTCTGATTTTTTCTGATTATTTTTTGGTTTCAATCTAACCTAGACTTGAATCCACGTTTGTTTTACTACGAAACAAAATTATTGCTTATAAAAAAATTGAGTGTATTTTATGTATTACATACAAAAATAAGCATTCTTCCTTGTGTAATTACACATTTTGTCACATCATAACACTATATTTTAAATATATAATATTTATTTTGATTTGAAACAGATTATAAGAATAAAAAATAATCACCTTATGTCTGATTATGTTTTGAAATTATTTTCATACTTTGCATAAAAATTCGTGTATTTAGAGTTAAAAAAAGTTTTTTCCATACATTTTTCCATTTAATTCTTATTTGTTGCTTGATATATATCAAAAAATATTAAACAATTATTTTTTTGAATGATCATGTATTTTAAATTGATATTTCTGATATTGTAAACAAAATCTAATGTTGAAACATAAACCATCTTCATGCAAATAATTTTTTATAGCTTTATTTTATTTTCTGAATTTGATTAACATCAAATACAATTATCGAATTATATTGCTGATATAAAATATTAAGGTTATTTTTTGGTTTACATATAAAAAACAAGAATATAACCAACATCATGTTTTTATATTTAAGTCTTTTGAATTTGAAATCAGCACCACTATGCTTACTGCAGGATTTGTGACCTTCATGTTATCTTCTTCAACCTTATTATTTGAATGATTATACCTTGTGGTTGTCACATGACGAAAATCACTTTTTCAATCCAAATTAACTTATATGAATTGCATGCCATCAAGCTTAGTAAACAAAATTGACTCTTATTATTCATCGAGGAATTATTGCTCTGCTTAACCGTATAAACAAGCTCACTTTGGCATTTAATACAGTCAGACTTACAAACATGTTCATCACATTCACCTTCTAGATATAGGAACTCAGCAATAGGCAATTCTCTCAGTAAAATGTTTTCCATCAGATCTCAAAGTACATCCATATACATTATCAGAGTTTACACACTTATCACTAAAGTACCCGTATAGAACGGTATTGTGTATATTCCTTCGGTAGCCGGTGGACCCATAACCCGCCATTTCGTCGGCGACAATCCAGAATATGAAAGTGTAATAGAGCAGAAAACCAACCTGTGAGATATATAATTCTCCAATCTCAGTAAAATTCAATTGTACTTATGTATGGCACAATATAAATGCATAAGAAGTTTCGTTCATTGTAAGAATGTAAGTTGAAACCTTGAGAGAAATATAGTGAGATTATGGTGGGTGCAACCTTCAAAGCCATAGTCGCTAAACCTGGTTTTCTTCGGAGTTGATTTGATGTGTCCATAGAATTTGTTTGCGATATTCCAAATAGAACATGCTCCTGTGTTAGGAATTCTGCTATCCCCATTCGTACAGAACAAATATACCAATCAATGTAACAAAATCATAGGAAGACCTCATGCTTACAATCACTTCGTCACAGGGAACTGAAGACTGGAATAGCAACAAAAAGGCAGCCAAAACGACGCCACGTAGGACAGATCATTAGGGTTTGAGCGGGGATCGAAACCCTAAGGAAGGCAGTGGCGCTGGCAGGCAGGCAGGCAGGCTCAGGGTCTGGGGCCTGGGGTCCGGGGGCGGACCCTTAGCACCCGAATTCCCAGCCTTCTTTCTCTTTCGCCGTCTCTGGCTTCCTCTCCTCCCTCCCCCGTCGACCAAACGATTGTGACGAGATGGTGAAACACAACAATGTCATTCCCAATGGGCATTTCAAGAAAGACTGGCAGAACTACGTGAAAACGTGGTTCAACCAGCCCGCCCGCAAGAAGAGAAGACGTACCGGTATGTTCCCATTATTACGAAAGTCAAATTTCGCTGTGAATGGCAGGGATTGCGAAGGCTTGCAAAAATTTGGAAATGGTGGCCATCTTTTCAGTAGTTTTGTGAGTGGATAGTTAGGTAAATTTTCTTTTCCACGATTCTGTGTCAGGTATTATGTTGTAGCGTGCATGTTTCTTTACTTCAGGCGGTCTAAATTTTCCCCTGTTTTCCATGGTTTTTTAAAATGCACCAAAAAAACGTTTAACTGAATTCGTGGAATATGTCCACCGTACTGCACCTACTGAATTGTAAACATTCATCTCGGCGTGTGCAGTCCGTCAAAAGAAAGCTGTCGCCATTTTCCCGCGGCCCACAGCTGGATGTTTGCGTCCCGTTGTCAGATCTCAGACGGTGAAGTACAACACAAAGATTCGTGCTGGACGTGGGTTCACCTTTGAGGAGTTGAAGGTATGAAACCCTCACTGTAACATTTTGAAGAATGCCGCGAAACCCCCACACTTCGTCTCTAGACCTTTCCCGTGATCGATCGCTTTCAATTGAAGAAGCTGAATCCCCGTTGTCTAAACTTGCCAGTTTCATCACTTTCAACAAACTTCGACAACTCTCGCTTTTTCAAAATTGTTCCTCATACCATGCATCGATTTTTCATACACGGCTGCTTCCGTGTAATTACAGTGAAACTGAAGGCAAGCAAGCCTACTTGTTAGTGTAGACTCCGTAATGATACGAATTTGTGTTTGTACAGGCTGCGGGCATTTCTAAGAAGCTGGCCCCCACCATCGGGATTGCTGTCGACCATCGCAGGAAGAATAAGTGTCTGGAGAGTCTGCAAGCCAATGTTGCTAGACTAACCACCTACAAGGCCAAATTGGTTGTCTTCCCGAGAAGGTCACGCAAGGTTAAGGTGAGAATTGGCACTATTCACTACGGCTACTGTGATCGCTTCATCGATCACTCGATTCCCATATGCAGATTTAGTTTTCGAATTTTGTCGATGTCTCTGAGCATTTCGACTCTGTTTCGTGCCTGCAGGCTGGTGACTCTACGCCAGAGGAGTTGGCCTCCGCTACCCAGCTCCAAGGAGATGTCCTGCCCATCCAGCGTGTCCGCCCAGTTGTCGAGCTGGTTGCTTTGACCGACGAGATGAAGAATGGCAAGGCTTACTCAAAGATCCGTCTAGAGAGAATGAATGCAAGGCTAGTAGGTGTACGCAAAAAGAGGGCTGCCGAAGCCGAGAAGGAAGAGAAGAAGTGAGACAGTTCTTCCCTATCACATGTTGGGGATTTGAGCCTCCCTATTTCTCACCTTTATACATAATGTGGCAATCGTGCGTCTTCAATCCTCCACGAAAGTTTCTATCTGGCACATCTGAATTAAAGAAGTTGCAAGTAGTTGAGCAGGATTTTGTTCATTTTATGACTCGGTATTCGGAGAGGTTCACCCGTTTCAGGATCTCCCTCGGTACCTGCAGGGAGCATGGCATGTCCTATGTATAATAGAAAACAATTTTCAGGATTGGCATCACCTGAGATGGACTTAACACATTTTAAGTTGGAGTTCCCGGGCCGTCAAAATTACCTGTGGGCAGATTTCCTAGTGTCATGTATTGAAGAGATACCCCTGTTGTTCTTGCACGAGATGTAGATGTCAATTGTAGACTCCCCGAGTCCTATTTGGTCATCATTATCAGCTAGTGTTGGCCAGCACTCTGGATTTGCAACAGACCGGTAATTCCGCCTCGGATTGTCCTTACTCGTATGTAATACATCACACCATGCGCAAACTGCCATCCAGCCTGCCCGCCCATCGTAGTGGACATACAGGGTGCGTTCTAAACCTTAAAAAATTCAGAGTTCAGCCTTGTAACGTAAGTTGTCAGAGTTCACCAAGCACAAGTTTCATGTCGGAAGAATAGTTCGTATTGTTTAATCCATCGGAGAACGTAACTCCCAGGATAAAGTCGCGAAGTTTGGCAGCGAAAATCGTCATTTCGATGAGTTCCTCTCAGCGTGTACTGAACAGGAGGCAAGAAAACTCCATCTCTGTTCCGAGTCGAGAGGTTTTAATCAAATCCTTCCTTAATCTCTTGATCTACACTCGATACCACTCCGACGAGAAGAGATATGATTTGCACCGACGAATATAACCCTCATCCCTGCACGTTGTTTAATACGAGGGACAAGTAGACACATCACATTTCTGTCCAGCATTATGTAGTTCAATCATAACCAAGAACAAGGATACTCGAGCGTTCCGCACACATATCCGGGCAATCCGAACTGTTGATACGTGAAATTATGCACAAGTTTTGCAACCATACACCTTCCGCCAGTTACTTCAGTGATGCAATCAGCTCTCCACATGAACGGGGAGGTGAAACCTAACCTCTTAGCAAAATATCGCTAGAGAAGAAAGGAACATTGTGGCGGGTGCGACCAATTGCAACATCCGAACGACGGCCAATGTCTCGAGATACGTCGCCCCATAATTCCGGGGAACATAGCTGCTCATGGGAAGCGGAGGCGCGAACAGCATGGACCGTGAAAGCGACATGAGGCGCACCCGCCGATTCCCAGCCGCGGCGATATAGCCGCGGCCCCCTCGGCCCCCTCGGCCCCAACAATTCCACTGGGCTGAACCACTACAAGAAAGACTGGCGGTCAACGGATCGAAAGGCCCTCTCGACGAATAGAGCGAGGGTGGTGGGGGAGCAAGCAGCAGCACGTGAGGGCAAGAGGCAGGGGCCGGTCGGTCAAGTTGAAGGCAGGAGGGACAATGCCGAAGGAGTCGAGGATTCGACAGCGAGCGAGCTTCACGAGCCGACGTTCGATCGGAGAAGGCGAGATATCTCGCTCGGTCTGCAGAGCGGGGCGCAGCGGCGCCACGTGGAGAGCAGCGTCCGACGAGGCAACCGGGGTTCTCGTTCTTTAACCGTGGACACGACCAACTTGTGCAGCGCCACGTAGATGCGCGATGGCCGTGATTGGCTGTGCGCCCTGGGGCATGAAATGGACGCCATCCACCCATTTGGTTTGGCTCGCTCCCGAGTCCCAATCCCCCGACGCTGCTCTGCTCTGCGTGCGCACTCTTCTTTGCCTTGGCGCCTGTTGCTCGCTCTCTTGGAATTCCCTCGGGGCTGATCGCTGCCCTCGCGCTCGCACCAACTGTCACCACTGGTCGAATTCCTCCGAGCGCCCATTCCCCGGGCCTCCCGTCTGGCTTTCCGTTTATTCCTTGCTGCTTTTTGTTCTGCTTTTTGTTCCGCCCGGGCCGATTGTTCTTTTGCGGCGCGGGAGAGGGTTTTTCGACGCAAGCAGCAGCGCTCGGTACGTGCTTCGCTTTATTAAATGGGTTCCGTGTTGTCGCTGTCGCTGTCGTGCGCAGAGGAGGCGAACGTAAGCAGTGGGTGTACAGCTTGAATGATGGTAAACCCTGTCAGAGTGACAGAACAGTGTTTGATTTGCTTGCGGGATGGGTGCGGCTCAGATTCCAGGCCTAGTCTAGATTGTGGCGAGCGAGAGAGTATTTGTTGGGCTCGCGACTGAGTGCTAGCGTGTTATCTTGCATAAGGTTGTGCGCAGAATAACGAAGCTTGAGATGGTGATGGCAGGCCTCGATTACGGGAGTCTATATCCTTTTTTTTTCGCATACTACTTCATTTACTTCCTTCTCCGGAAGAGTCGTAACTTGAACGAGGACGCGGAACTTATGAAGACAGAGAGGCCTAGTCATTTATCGAAAGACTAATTTCCCCCCGTCAGCAGTTCTGATCATAAAATGGCCACAGGGGTGGGGCTCGCTCCGATTCACAGCCTGAATGCTTCATCCACCTTCTCGTGTCACAAGCATAAGGTGGGATCAGAAGCAGCCACGCCTTGCGATGCGAGGAATCGCACAATTTCCAGCTTCCTTCTCACGGGTCCTTCTGGATCCAGCCTGCACCCGTCGCGAACATCTCTGCCATCCGGAATTTCTCAGGGATCAGGCCAGTGTTTATCAGGAGGAAGATGGAAGTACTCGCGGACGCAAGCCTTTCTATCGTTAAGGAGAGGCGCTTACCTGCAGCTGAATTCCTTGTATGGCGAGAAGGTGGACACTGGTTCGGACGCAATTTTGCGACTCCCGGTCCGAGGATTATGTGGTGCGACATCTTTTTTGAGTAGTAGAGTTGGGAATGATGCGGCCATTCGTTTCGGTAGAGCTTCTCGATCGACACGCCAGAATGGTTCCAAGAGGACTTCGAGTATTGCTAGGTGTGAGGCTGACAATGCATCTTACAATGACAGGCCAATGGCGATGGATTCGTCAGAAATCATTGCTGAAGGTGATAGGTATGCTGGTGGTGACATCTCGTCAAGCAAGAATGGCAGTGTTGTGGAGGAGGTTTCTCAAAGCACTCCAGTAGCATCACAGGAATCCAAGGATGAACCGGACGAGGACTCCCCGTTAGAAGTTTTGAAGGAGATTCTTCGTGCGGCACAGGAGGATCTCGTTGACTGTAGGATTAATAGTGAAAAGACTGAGGAGCAAGCTCAGATGGTCGCTGAATTGGCCATTGCGTTGAGGGATGAGGCTGCCGATGCTGAAAAGCTGGCAAATGCCACCATGAGCAAAGTGGAAGATCTACTCGGAGAGGAATCGAAGGCAGAAGAAGAGTTGATCAAAGCCACAGCTGCGTGCGTCAAAGCTGGAGAAGTGGTTAAGCAAGCCGAAAAAGCCTTGGAAGAAGCGTTGCGTAAGGTTCAGGCCGAGAAAGACCAGCAACCTGTTCTGGAAGCGAGTCTGAACGAGGAAGATGCACAGGATGTGGCAAAGGCCAAACTAGAGTTATACACGGAGCGGACCGTGGAGACGAGTGTGACAGTGGATGATTCTGCTGGCTCGGAACCGGTAGAAGTTCTAATGGACACTGAAACAACCGTGACCAACACGAAAGTGTCAGTGGAAGGCATGACACCAGCCGCAGCGTTGTCTGTTGCGAACTCCATACTCCACGAATCGGAGATGCTCGAAAAAGCCAAGGCTGGCTTTAGAGAGGCCGAACTAATTGTTGCAAAGTGCGAATTAGATCTCTCTCGTATACTAACTGAGAAGCAAGAAAGTCAGCAAGAGCTTATGGCCCTAACTCAGGCCGCTGACAAGGCAAAGGAAACTGCCTTGGCTGCAGATGAAGATGTAGCAAAAGCCATGGCGGAAGCAGAGAAGGCAGTTGCTCTTGAACTTCATGTAGCACAGCGAGTGAGTGATGCTGAAATTGCTTTGCAAAAAGCAGAGAGTTATGCCTTGGAAGCTGTGTCGAAAGCAGCAGCTTTTGCTGCGGCTGAAGCAGAAAAACTTGCACAACAAGTTGGAAAAACTCTAGAGCAAATGGAGGAGGAGCTGGAGCATAGAGGTGAAGTGGAGCACGATATGCCTTCTGAGACTAGATCCGCTGTGAAGGATATTGAAAGGGTGGACATCGCGGAAGAAGTTGCAACCAAGGTTACTCCTGTTTTGGAGAAGATGCAGGATGAGGAACCGAAGGCATCCGAGCCTGAGAAGGTAGAAGCAATGAAGGAACCTGCTGCATCGAAATCAAAGAAGAGGTCATCTCGGTTCTTTCCCGCTTCTTATTTTTCATCGGACGACGGTGAAGAGTTTTCACCTGGTAAGGCTTTCGCCACGTTTGCGACAAACTTGAAGCCGCAGCTGGCGAAGATAATAATCGGCACCGCTCTTTTGCTTGCTGGGTGAGCCCCCACCCTCTTCCTCTTGAAATCATCCATGGTTTCGAAACTGTGTCGCTGATTTGTTTCTCAAGGAACTTCTTCTTTCTTCTCTCCATTTGCAAGTAACAATCAGAAGGCAGTTCATAAGGCAGTTCTTGAGGAGGTTTTATTTAGGTGTGTCATATGCTGTCCTTCATGTTGCAAACCTTGTTCTATACCTGAACAAGCAATATTTATATTTGAGTGAGTTGTATTCAGAACCTGTCTCTAGCTAACATGTAAATTTTCAGAGGTGCTTATGTGAACAATCGCCTAGAAAAACGGGCTATGCTACCGCCGGCCCCGGAGTACAGCAGCAGTATCCAACAAGTCACCGCTGACCCGAAGCCAATTATTAGAGAAATTAAGAAGCTGACTAATCGAGTTAAGGAGATGGTGGACAAGATACCATCTCAAGAGGTGTGTTCCTAGTCCAGTAAATTTGACTTCTTCCGGAGACAAGGTATCCAACTGATCTCCATTTTCGTTAGTTCGAAACTAAAGAGCGGGACCTACACGTATGCCCCGGCGAGGAGAGTTGATGTTCCAAAACCCAACAAACCCGGGGAAACGCGTCCTGTCAAACCATTTTGTAGATTGATACCTCGATGTATATCGTATCCTGATCAAAACGATTATCTACATCGTTTTCCTCGAGATTTCATCATATGTGCACTGGTTAAATTTCGATGATTAAATGATATAATCTTATCATATGTGCATGTGCCACGACATCTTTTCTACACTCATGGTTATTTACAAGAATTCTAACGTACAAACCATCTCTTGGACAGGTGAACGAGGAAGAGAGGTCTCTCTTTGATGTTCTTTGGCTTCTTCTAGCAAGCGTGATTTTTGTGCCTCTATTTATGAAGATTCCAGGAGGTACATCATACTCTTTTCTACTGCTGCATTTAAGACCATTAGTAGATTTAGGTTGCTTATATTGTAGACTTTCTTCGGGGATAGTTGCAAGAGCTGGGAGGTGGCTTGTCGATACTTAACAGTATATAATACACCAATCACATTTTTGGTACAGATAACGGCAGGTTGCTGTGGAATGATATCAGAAGCTGCGTTCGATTTTTGCAGGTAGTCCAGTGTTAGGTTATCTTGTCGCTGGGGTTCTCATTGGACCACACACTTTACACATCATTCGACATGTACATGGAACGAAGGCTATTGCTGAGTTCGGAGTCGTTTTCCTCCTCTTCAACATTGGTCTTGAGGTAGGCATCTATTTTAAACCAAGTTCTTACTGTCAGTTTCGAAGCACTGTAGTCAATATGGTTGCTTGTCGTTTCGTTATAACTGAGTCCTTGAACTGACTCAAACCAGTGTATTGGGCACATTCAAGTATAGAACAGTCACACAGGTCAACTAACCCACCTATATTGGTGACGCAGTTGTCAGTTGAAAGGCTGAGCTCAATGAAGAAGTACGTCTTTGGCCTCGGAACTACTCAGGTGCGGGCATTTACTCTCTAGAATCCATGATTTTACCATGTCATCTGAGGTATTATAAGCTGAATTTTCATAGCATAGTCTCTGGTTTTAACTAGCATGGCCTTTCAAGTCTTTATATTTAAGGCTGACAATGTTCGCATGAGCACGTCCAACTTTAACATATCGACATTGATTTACACACAGGTTTTGGCCACTGCTGCAACTATAGGGCTTTTTTTGCATTTCGTCACAGGGATGTCTGGTCCAGCAGCACTTGTGATCGGCAATGGGCTCGCGTTGTCATCGACTGCTGTAGTTCTTCAGGTTTCTAACACTCACTTTCTGGAACATTTCGTTCCATAATATATAAGTTTTAGTTTCGGTTTAAGCTTCTTTCTAGACGATGACTAGAAATAACTGGGAGAGTTCTTGGAGGCAGAAGAAGTAAGAGTTGTATGTTCCAGTTTCAAACTTGAGGTTTCATCGTGCAGGTTCTACAGGAGAGAGGGGAAAGCACATCTCGCCACGGGCGAGCAACTTTTTCTGTACTTCTTTTCCAGGTAATAAGTTCACAATATTATTCATGCAGTTTTCAAAGTTCTACAATGTCCATGAAGCTCCGAAGCTTGTGAGCTAGCCTTGTTACTATAGATTAGGTATTTTCCCCTCATTTGGTCTTCAAAATAGATTGTGCAAACGAGGTTGAGTTTTTTGTCTCATGCAAAGCGTGAGACCAAAAATAGATGCTGATTTGTAAGTTTGTTGGGTATTTCAGGATCTTGCCGTGGTGGTACTGCTCATCTTGATTCCTCTTCTGGGAGCAAAAGGCGGGGTGAGTTGTATAGATACAGCACCATAACTTCGCAACTAGTTCAGTTACTAAAGTCACGGCTATTGCAAGTGGCTTTTGTTCCTATATTGGCAAACACGTACCCTTTATCTTTGTCAAGGGGATGAACTTCCTTTCTAACTATGAATGGTCAGCACCTTTTCGTTGTCCTAGGAATTGAAGTTGAAGGACAGATGCATAAGAGGCCAGCACTCTAGCTAGAATCTAGAATCTAGAATGTTGATGGCAAGATCTGCGAAGCATTCGTATTTCTAAATTTCACCTTTGTCTCACATTATACCTGTTATTCATGGGCGCTATAAAGTCATGACATCGTGTGAGTGATACTTCAAGGAAAGTGCCTTAAACCCAGGAAATATCTGAATTGACAGGTTGGATTTAAAGAAATTGCCGAAGCGCTCGGTATTGCGGCAATCAAAGCAGTAATCGCCATTTGTGGTATCATTGCTGGTGGACGATTGGTAAGTCGCTGTCATGAGTAAATGAGGATGTCGTTTTTTGAGACACATCTAATCTCATTAGCGTCATCAGTTTTGCTACTATTTTGTTTTCGAAGAAGACATCGTGATATCAAACTCAGATGTCTAGTATTGTTCCAAGAGGCTGTGTTACAGCAATGAATACGAAGTGTAGGACTTGAGTGGCGAGTTTTTAAAGTGAATATGAATGGAGCTGTCAACCCATAGCATATAGTTTGGTTTTCTGATAAGTTGCGTTGTCCTTTATGACAGTTATTGCGTCCTGTATACAAGCAAATGGCGGATAATCACAATGCTGAAATATTTGCGGCAAACACCCTTCTCGTTGTTCTTGGGACCAGTGTCTTGACTGCGCGGGTAAAAACCTGAACCTCCATTCAACAATTTGTCGTTCACTTAGCTACTTTAACCTGCCGTCTTCTTTTTTAGGAGGAAAGCTTAATGTTGCTCAATTTATCTTGGATGTTGCCAGGCCGGTCTTTCCATGGCTCTCGGAGCCTTTTTGGCAGGGTTGCTACTCGCAGAGACTGAGTTCGCCCTGCAAGTAGAGTCGGACATCGCCCCTTATCGAGGCCTGCTACTCGGCCTTTTCTTCATGACGGTATGCAATTACCACTGCCTATTTGCCACGTGGCATATTACCTACTTTGTGACTGATACTGAAACAACCTAATCAAATCCACTTCAAGGACATGCTACTGAAATTTTCAAAATGTTGCATACAGAAAAGCTATTTGAGGGGTTTTCCCTACAGCTTCACTTCGTGCAAGATTTGAAGCTAACCTGAATTCCGGTATAGCAAATGAGTTGTGTAGTACGCCTTATACTTAACGTGCACTTTTGCAGGTGGGGATGTCAATCGATCCACAACTATTTGTTGCCAAGTTTCGTGAGATACTTGGAGCTCTAGCTGCTCTTATTATTGGAAAAACTGTGTTGTTTGCTGCTGTGGGTCGTCTCTTCGGACTTTCCACAATTGCAGCAATTCGAGCTGGGTTGCTTCTTGCTCCTGGAGGAGAGTTTGCGTTCGTAGCTTTTGGAGAGGCTGTGAATCAGGTAGGTTTTGTGATCTTTAATGTCACTGTGCATAAAATATTGGTCCATGATAACAAGCTTAGCAAGATGCAAAGAATCCACAAAAAGCTACGCCTTTTTTTTTGTTTTGTTTTCAGTTTTGAAGAACTTATTGCAGAAACTAACTACCACATCTGCATTGATCATTGTACCTTTTCCTCGGTATCTGACTGCAACAGGGAATTATGACCAGCGAAGCGTCGTCTCTGTTATTTTTGGTAGTGGGTCTCTCGATGGCTCTGACTCCATGGCTTGCAGCTGGAGGCCAACTGATTGCTGCTCGATTTGAACAATCAGATATGCGAAGTCTCCTGCCGCAAGAAAACGAGGTACCAGTTTGGCAGATTTTTCTTCCCAATTATTCTTTACTTCAAAAATCAAGTATCTGATATCATTTGTGACATGCACGATGCAGACTGATGATCTTCAAGGCCACATCATTATTTGCGGTTTTGGACGCGTTGGACAGGTACATCGGCCTTAAATGATCTTGTATCTTAAAGTCTGTAATATAGTTTCTGATAGATGGAAATGTGATGCTTGGAGTCAGCTGTGGTGATAGTTACTTGGCCCAAATCGCATCTTACGTGCAGCCTAAACCGCATAATCTTTAGTTCAACTTATTTTTGTCTGAACTTTATTCAGGCGTAATCAATTTCTGTTGAATTTTGTATTGGTCTTAGCTTCAATATACCTTTTTCCTATCGGTTCACTCCAGAAACTTTTAAAGAGTCTATCGTATCCGACAGACTCTTTAAGCTTCAAGTAGCTTTAAAAGACATACCACCGTGGGTTTTACAGTTGTTTATAGAATGTGTTATGGTTTTATGTCGCTCTGTAGCATGTTGTTTGTGTAATAGGGCTATGGTTGAAATCAGGATCACTTACAGTTACGCATATGTGCAGATTATTGCACAGCTTCTGTCAGAACGCCTGATTCCGTTTGTGGCACTCGACGTTCGGAGGTACGAACTCTCTTTCTTACCTGTACGCTCTGTATGTGTTCGTCTGGAAATCTGAGACTTCCTGTTACAAAATGTCATTATTTCGAGAGTTGCTGAAGTGTTGTAAAGCCTCTGAGATTGCTAGTGTGCAGATGTTACGCACAATGAATGTCCTGATATGTACTTTACATCATTATTCTCCTTACTTTGTGATCCTGTCAGATACTAGACTTGCAAAGTTGGAGAATGGCGGTAAAACTGCCATTCTCCGTTGTCAAGATGCTTCTGTACTTTTTCATTGATGTAGTTTGTAGACTCTTGTTTACTTCATATGCCTGGCGTCACGAAAGAGATTTTAGGAATTTGCTTTTTCTTGTTAGAGGTTGGCCAGTAAGAGGGAGATATGAAAAAGCTGATTGTCTGGCCTCGCCTGTGATTGCAGTGAACGCGTCGCTGTTGGACGAGCACTTGATCTTCCTGTCTATTTTGGAGATGCAGGGAGCAGAGAGGTACAAAGTCGGCCACGAGCATTTTATTCTGCCTATACCTTGAAAGCGTATCTGAGTTGTTTAAGAAAAGTGGAAAAAATTTGTTATCACATTGTTCTGTCCTAAATATGACAAGAACTTCGTGTGTAGATTCGATTGAGCTTCCAATCGGCATTCCTCCGTTGTCTTCTTACGAAAGCTGAGCTGGGTGATGCAGGTTCTTCATAAGATTGGTGCTGACAGGGCAGCTGCAGCAGTTATTACTCTAGATACTCCAGGGGCAAATTATCGAACAGTTTGGGCTCTCAGCAAACATTACCCGAAAGTCAAAACTTTTGTTCGCGCTCACGATGTTGACCATGGCATCAATCTCGAGAAGGCCGGAGCGACTGCGGTACGTCCTTACACTTATAACGATGCACTTCTGCTGAACAGTAAAATCGTAGATAGACTGGTCCTAATATAGGACTACGCATATGTGCAAATGTGCCTCGATAGCTAACTATAGTCAGGAAGGCATCGGATAAATCCCTTGAATTTTGCATTTATCGTGGCCCTCCCTTTTTACACAGCTTAGCTACATTTTTTCTCGCAATTTTTTTTACCTGGTGAATAGTAAGGGCCCCGAGTTCTGTATATTTTCTTTTCAGACCGAAGCTGCTTGTTGGTGAATCGGGATCTCAATGTTTCACGTGGTTTCTTAGCATCGTCAGTCTATTGTTGACAATACCTTTGTTTGTAGGTTGTTCCGGAGACTCTGGAGCCCAGTTTACAACTTGCAGCCGCAGTCCTTGCACAGGTGAGCAGTTGAATTGTAATTTAATTTTTCTTGAAAAGCAGGACCTTAAATCATGCTTGGGGTTATGTTCATTCACTCTCGTAATAGCAGGCTATAGGTTAGTAGATATGATAAGCTGTATAAATATAACAATTGGTTCTCCTTGTTCAGAATACATAAGTAGTTCTTTGCTGACTTCTTTGTCGTACATCTTTTACATCAATTCATGTGTTTTTCATACAATGAGGTTTGTCTGATCTACATACATAAATTTGTCTATTTCGTTTGTTTCTTCCGTTGGCGTGCCTACTCGTTGTACTAACTGCATGTCACGGTACCTATATATGTGTACCTTATCGTTCCACCATAATGTCCCTATTAGACTGTGATCTTTGAACCACCCAGAATGCGCGACCTCTGTAGCAGCCTATATCTGCTCAGTACTCCCAGAAGATTGATGAAGGGTAGTTTCCCTAAGTTTCATGTTTTAAAGTAACGATGATAAGTATGTTTGGCCTCTGAGATGGAAAGCTTTATATGGGAAATCTTTGATTCTCTATCTGCGGGCAGATGTGGTGATGCGCATCCAGAAGCCTTAATGGTCTTTTCTTTCCTGTTTGGTTAAGACTATACGGTTTACTTACTGTTTTCTATGTCTTATGATAACTAACGTGAGAATATAACTGGTTCGTCTTTGTGTTCTTTCATATCTGCCCTGTGTGACCTGGATACCGCGTTGCATGACCTTGACTAACTAGTGTTTGTACATTCTCAATCGACGTATTCAACTGGTTTCTGTAGATATAAGTTCTTTAGCGTGCAATAGCAGCTTTGTAGCTTTTTCCTTATGTATTTTCTTCTTGATACGAGTTAGTGCTCACTGGGGACTAAGCTTTCTGATTGTTATTATTTTCAGGCCAAGGTACCAGCATCTGATATTGCATCGGCGATCGACGATTTCCGTAGTCGTCATCTTTCTGAACTCACAGAGGTACTAGACTCTAAACCCTAGACCCGAAACCCTACGTTATTTTTACTTTAGTTTCAAGTGTTGTCGAAATCTGTTACCCATTTATATGAATAAGATTGATTTTATAATTTTTTTAATTACACCGGAAAGCCAATTTTCCCTACGAAGCAACCGCCCTTACCTGTCGTTCTACTATGGAAGATAGTTAGGTTCGAGTTTATGCCTCAAATGCCGACAGGAAATTTCTCAGTCGGCGCTTCGAAGAGTTTAAGCTGAGAGACTATGGGCTTCCCCGCCCAGCAGAGGGCTATGTGATACAGGCTCAAGTACTGAAGAGTACACTTTACAATCTTTGCCATAATGATAAACTGGAACTAAGCTTAACGATGCAAGGTTCAATGTAGGAATTCTTGCGGGTGAGCATCTAGATTATAGTCTTACAACCTTGATGAATATAATGAGACATCAGTGTGTTTTTGCGATTTCTCTATATAGGTTAGTCATGTCTCGTTCATTCTATGGGTCTTTGCAATACATGTTCTGATTTCACTTTTCGCTTAACGTCCGGTTTGGGGTTGATGCTTCTCTGTTCCCCATTTGTTTTTACATTCACTTACTGTGTTGTTTTCTGCAGGTTTATCGCAGTCACACTGATTGCTATTATCTGTATTACTAACCGTACTAGCTCATACTTAAGTGCTCTTTTTCAATGCACTGTTATTGCTTAATTATGCATGGGTTTCTTGTGAGTACGTTCTTCATAATTTTGTAGGGTCTGAACACGTTTGCTGTCTTTGTATTCCAGCTTTCGGATAAGAGTGGGACGTCGTTGGGTTATGGATTCTCCCGCGTCATGGTAAAGCCAAAGCAAGATATAAAGATCATACCCGATGAAGAGGTGGTGGAACCAAAACTAGATGGCGGTATCATTGCTGTTCCCTAAGCAAGTGGCATGTACATCTACAAGCTAGGATTTGTAAATCTTCGAAGGCCTTAAACTTCTTGAGTCGATGTCGAAGCATTGACGAGGATGTGGCTGGCTGCAAACGCCGTCAGATGCGTCTGCACACACTAGAATTCTTGTGATATGGAAGTTTCATATCGGGAAAGAAGTAAAGGAAGGTGAGTCTGCAGACTCATAGTATGTTTGGAGCAGGTAGTTGACTACACGTTGAGTGGCGTCAGTTCAAATGGAGATTAGGGGTTTGGAAATAAGATTAGCACAGCTTTCTAGATCTGACATCCCATTTGGGAAGACGATCGGAAGGCCCAACAATAAAGTTGGACGGTTGTACAGTAAGTACAGTATATCTCCATATTTCGAGTTAGCATGTACATGTAAGGTACACCTCTCCTTGTCCAAAGAAGGAAGTTGGGGAGGAGTGGCTGTCAAACGCAATGTCGATAATTCTTTGGCAAAGTGTAGGTTTCAGTGTAGTTTGTTACAGTTGACCTGCAGGTTGTTGGCATAAGACTTGCCTACAGATGTTGTTTTTGCCTCCTTGTTTTTTACTGCAACAAAAGAGAGTGTAACCAATTCGACGACGCTTACGTTTCAAGCATTGAAAGTCTTCGAGTCCCTCACCACTGAAGTTGGCCATTATTGTCTACTTTCCATATGTTGTAGTCTGCAACGATTTTGTTTCTAACGAGGGATAGGAATGGAAAACCCCCCAATATATGAGGAATGGTTCCTGAATGAGTCAATCAATCTAAAGATTGGCAGTTACCATCGAAAAGTATTTCCATCGTAAAAGTGATTTACTCTTTGTTTATTGCTTTTTGGGCTTTGGTACGAATTGCTCTTGTTTCAGGTCTCATTTTCGTTTTACTCTTTTTATACGCTGTTCTTCAAGTAAACTCTTGACCAGAGGTATGTCCTTATACGCAGTGCAAATCAAATCCTGTTGTCTCCGGATCCTTTAATCCTTGCTATGAATAAACTTCTCTGGTTTCATTCCGGAACAGGTGGATCGTGATCCGTACATGGAATCTTCAAACGATCGGTGGCCAACTGAACAACGTTTAACTTTTCGGTTTAGGACTAGAGTTGGTAAGCAAGTAAGTATCACCTGAGGTAAAGACTTTTATGTACGAACCACCAATCAATTTGTTTAGTTCAACATGAATGTTGAACTAATCTAGACGACCGCCGTATCGAATTGACACATCATGGCCGAGCAGTGTTCAAAAGCTGTTATAAGTCTACCAACTACCAGTTACACCGAGTGTGGTGATCTGGGATCCACAATGGTACTATTTGATTTTGTCTGTCTGGTGTTCAATTTTGTAGAAGTCACCTGACCTTTTATCATGATACGAGACAAAGGAAGTCTATGATTCATCATGGAGTTCGATTCTATCGTAGTTGTCAATCACTAGACATCTACGATCTACTATATAGTTATCCCGGCTCTATTCGATTTTCAGTGACTTGAGGGGATAGAAATTCAAGACCTTAGCCTTAACATGAAGCAAGTTGTTCTGAATTGAAGAACCAAGAGGCAACCAAATGGAAAGAACTTGAAGTCCTCGCCTCAAGTCAATTTCCATTTCATAAAAGCGGTTCACCATACCCCAAACTACTTGGACCACTTGGATCACAAATTCGCTCAATTTCTTGAACTTAGGCAATTGGACCGGCTATCTTAAGTGTAAGGGTTTTGGGTGACGTAGTAGTTAGAGTGAACACAGCAGAAGGTTATCTTCTTTAATGAAAGGAATTATAAAAGGAAGATTTGTCTCCACCCCCTAACGAAGAGCAGTAGCTGGAATAAGGAACACTGCGGCAATATTGTTGAGGCCTTCGGCAGCAGTTGCAGGCATAAATGGGTTTTAGGTTTTCTAAATGCTATTTCAAGTTTTGAGGTTAAGGGGACGATGATGTTGTGGACTGTGAAAGAGAGATAAAAAATATGCGAAAATCTCAGTTTATGTATTGAATTTTAGAGTAATATGATCATATTTACTTTGCAACTGATTAAGAAGGCCAGTTTGTCGTTCCAGCTGATATTGGACAGCGCGAAAATTGCCCTCTTATTTCTATGTAATCCATATCTAAATACAAAGTTCATTAATTCAGCGCTCAATCACTCAGTCGAAAAAACAGACTAGTCACAAGAAACTAGCCGGGTGACCATCTAAGATAGGAGCAACTCAGGATTAGATATACTATGAAGTAAATTTTGATAATGAGGTACATTCGTAGACCAAGTGGCCAACGGGAAGTCCTGTCAAATTAATTTTTGTGCAACTGAAGCCTTTAGAAATAAGCACTGATGTCATCTTTAACATCTTTGATGTGTTGCATTTGCAGTGGAAGGAAACGAATAACATAGTTATTAATGTGTCCATATGCCAATTGCATCCTAGAAACGCATCATTGCATCATTTTCTTCTTAGAAACGTCTAGAACTCTTGTCTTGTCTTTAGTGTTTCTTGTCAGAAACATGTAGAGCTGGCATATCTAAAATTGGTAAGCTGAGATCTAATGAAATGATAACTTGGAAGTAATTTTAAGTATCAGGCCGAATGTGAATTAAAAAATTTAGGGTACTTTTGTAGTAAGAGTGTGTCCATGATATGTTCAGTGTCAAAACTGTTAAACTCAAGAGTTGGAAAACATTTACTCTTGTGATAGAATTTTTTTTTTAATTTTCTCAATAAATCATTCCTTTGTCACAAAACACTAAACTACCCAACTTATTGGATATCAATTCCTAAAATGATATTTGCCAGAATGTGTAACCTCCTCATTCCATATCAACTTCGAGGATTAGATATTGAAGTTTTCACTTCCAATTATTTTACATAAACACTTTCAGTGAATATGTTATGAGAGGAATATGAATATGCTCATGATATATTCTTTGTTCTAGGAGAGGGATATGTTTGGTAGAAATAGATAATGAATTTGTCACTAACATATTCAAATAGCATTAAATTTTGTATAAATGTACTAAAAAAATCTTATATATATATATATATAAATTGTACTTTGTGCTGTTGTGTGTGTGTGTATATATATACACACACAACAGCACAAAGTACAATTTATGCAGGGTAAGCATTCAAACGTTCTTAACTTCCAATAATACTGAAGATGATGTTTATGATAATCATACCATTGAAAACCAAATAAACCATGCGCACATGATGTAACAAAATCATGAAAACTGTACATCATTTTACTTAATGTTGATTGATATTTCTAAATATCATTATTCCCTAAACATTGTGCATACATTAGATGACATAAATGATGCTATATACAATTTGTACATGTTTGGTTTGTTATAGATTGTTTTCCATGAATGAATGAAAAAAAGAAGAAGGAAGAATTATGTAAAACTTCATAACATGACGATGTAGAATAATTTCTTATTCTCTTTTCAAGAGTTTCAAATAAAAAATTACCTATTCAACATCATCTACAGATACTAACATCTGAACTCAATCAAAATGAAGCTTTCATAAAAATGTGTTTTTAAACGTAAATAAATTCAGTTTTAATATTTGATTTAAAAATTTCACTTTCAAATGTACAACATTATTGAATATTGAGATTAAGATATATGATTATTCTTTCAAAAAAAAATCTTTAAAAAATCTACATCAGCTCTCATATTTTTCAAGAGAGTCAAGAAAATTATTATACAATCAACATACAAGTATAAACAGAAAAACCGAAGAGTGTTGTTGCATAATTGAGATTATTGATTATTCAATTTTTGTCTCAAATCTTTTTTAAGAGTAAAATTCGATGTAGAAAATTATATACTTGAAATTTAAAGTTTATTATGATTCCATACGTCATTGTATGATTCAACATTTCGAAAAATAAAATAAATAAATTTTAAGCTCACTCGTGGAGTATTGATAGTACAGTAGTTGTATAGTGGAGAGATAACAGAGGGAATATATTCAAGATATTCAAACATATTTTAGTGAGAGAAGTCCAGCTTCTACGCTCTCCGGGGAAGGTCTGAGTCGAGGATTTCCTGGAGGCTTCTGGGGAGAGCAAATCAACATTTGTCAAGCAGAGCCGCGATTCTCAGGCTGCTGCATCAGCCATGCGACGCCATTGCGTGCACTGATCAGAAGCCGAAGCAGAGATGGCGGGCCTGAGTCTTCTGCAACAGCCGCTGCGATGTGCTCCAAGTGGCGGAAGGCTCTTTGCACGAGATTGTGAATGGCGAGCGGACACGGGCACTGGCAATGGCACTGCGTCAGGGAAGGTGAGAATCGAATCGAGACGCGCACGAGTATGCAGAAGGGAATTCTCCGTAGCTCGAAGTTGTGCGTCGATTGAGGTCCAGGAGCGAAGGAATGGGGCTGGGGACAGGGAATTAAGCTCGGCTGGCGAAGAGAATTCAGGTGTTGCGGATTTCTATGGCAGCGGAGGCGGGAGAGGAGTGGGCGCTGATTCGGACATTCCGCTCTTGGAGGCGCTGGCGAATTGCGCAGCGCAAGATGCTGCTTCCTTCCATTTTCCCGGCCACCGTCGAGGGCGCGCGGCCCCGTCTCGGATGTTGGAAACGGTGGGACATGGTGCCTTCGCTCATGACTTGCCCGAGCTTCCTGAGCTGGACAATCTGTTCTCGCCGGACGGCGTCATAGCCGAAGCTCAGGCCAAAGCCGCCGCGCTGTTTGGCGCAGACGCCACATTTTTCCTGGTGAATGGCTCGACTTGTGGAATTCAAGCGTCGGTCATGGCGACATGCCGACCTGGAGATTTTCTCATTCTTCCGAGAAATTGTCACCTCTCCGCGACGTCGGCAATGGTTCTGTCGGGAGCTTTGCCGAAGTACGTCGTGCCACTCTACGACCGTCGATGGGGAATTGCTCATGGAGTCAGCCCTCTGTCCATACACACGGCCATCACCGAAGTGAAAGCACAAGGAGGCCGAGTCGGGGCCGTTTTGGTCGTCTCTCCGACGTACTTCGGCGTTTGCAGCTCGATCGATGCAGTTGCGAAAGTGTGCCACGACAATGGCGTTCCCCTCATTGTGGACGAGGCTCACGGAGCACACTTCCGATTTCACGAAGATCTGCCAGAGTCTGCTCTGGAGCAGGGAGCCGACATCGCTGTGCAGTCAACTCACAAGGTGCTGGGCTCGCTCACACAGTCATCCATGCTCCATGTGAGAGGCGCAAGGGTGAGTCAAGAAGTCCTGGGCAGATGTCTGCAAATGGTGCAAAGCACGAGTCCGAGCTACCTCCTGCTTTCGTCTCTGGACGCTGCACGCGCTCAAATGAGCGAGGGTGGTCAATTCGGACGGACGAGAGGTTCAGATTCTCGTCTGGACAGGGCTCTTGTTTACGCACGCAACGCAAGAGAACGTCTGAAAGCCATACCTTCCCTGTCAGTGATGGATGAGGACACAATCGACAGCAGTGAATCCTTACCTGGGCTGGATCCCCTTCGTATCACACTGGACTTACGGGGACTCTCTATCGATGGCTACGAAGTGGATGACATTCTTCGGCTGGAATTTGGCGTGATTGCTGAGTTGCCTGCACTCCAAACAATCACGTTTGCCGTCAGTCTGGGCAGTTGTGAGCGTGATATTGACATGCTGGTAGACGCCTTCGTAGCTCTGAGTTCTCGTTACACCAGCAGTGGTACCGACGGCGCTACCATGCCTCCCCAGGATCAGGATCAGCTTTTCAACAGCTCAATTTTGCCTCTTCCGTCAGCACGAGGATTGAGTCCGAGGAATGCATTCTTCAGCAAGACTGTCAAAGTTGATGTGGCGGATTCTGTAGGCAAGATATGTGCTGAGCTGGTGTGTCCTTACCCACCCGGTATCCCCGTGATCAGGCCTGGAGAGGTCATATCGGAAGATGCAATATCTTACTTGAGGAGGATTGTCAAGAATGGAGGTTCTATCGCAGGATTATCAGATGCAACATTCTCGACCATTCAAATCTGTCAAGAATGAGCTTGTTTGCAAGCTTATACTGACTTGTAGTAGTAGGGTTGGAGGGTTTAGTTACCATCATACACATGCAGCACCATTGTTAAGTAACAAATTCTATTTAGCTAGCTGACATGACCTTCGTGAACTAGAATCGGTAGATTAGACCAGCGAATCTATGAGGTTCAAAGACTTTGTAGAGTATGTTTATACGGACAGTGAGCACATTAACTCTCTGTGTCCGTATAAACATACTCTACAAAGTCTTTGAACCTCAATGTGCTCACTGTGAATAGCAGTGATGCTACTGTACATTGTTGAACAGCCAGGCACCCGATTTTTACATTGATAAATATTCACTTGCATGATGTACACCTTCTGTGCCTCAATGGACCATTGATGTTTTAGCATTGCGTGATGGAGTGTTGATGTTTTTGCATGGCGTTGATCGCTCCCGTACTTAAGCTTCCTTAGTGGACTGTGCACAAAACCTCACTGCTGTTCGCGCCATGTGGAGTATTATTTTAAGAAGTGGCTAAGATGGGGCTTTGGCCAGTCATCTTCGAAACATTTCTGTAACTGCATCTGATCATCTTTTATTTGTAAAGCAGACTACGATCAGTGCTTTGACTTCAATTTCTTTCGCCTGGGCCAGTAAACACCGTACCGGCGATGGAAGTTTAAATCATTTCTCCCAGTCAACCAAGCTAATATTTCGGGGATGAATCAGCGCTGTCAGCTACCTGCACCGTTTGATGCGGTCCACCACATACAGATTTGCATCAATTCCAACGCAAATGTTTAAAAGTTACATTCACACAACAAGAATCAGCCTTCACATCAAACAATGTAAATAGCAGCCTGTGTGCATACAGGACGATGCTTGCACTTCTGACTAACATGAAACTGAAGCCTCCTTCACCTACAAAAGACCAACTAAATTCCAATATCTTCCTCACGAACTCGGCTGAAACAACCGGTGTCCGTGAAATCGTTATTACAGCCTGCATCCTTGCTATGTCAAACAAACAGAGTAGGTCCCAATTTGGGCAACAGCAGAATATCCGTATAATCTCCAATTCCGGATGGACTTGGGTTCCCGAGGGAAAAAGTTCTCGAGTCGATTGTCAGCAAAATTGAACGACATCTCCTCGACGAATGTCGAACATGTCCAAGCCTTGAGATTGTGTGGGAAAAACAAGCTAGCACATAGGTGGAAGAGTCTAACGCAGTGCTCATTTCAGAAGATCCTTCGGCATTGACTGTTCAGGAACCACTATATCGTCTGTTATGAAAGAGTCCTGCTCTGTGACCGAAATGATTTCTATGGCTGCTCGGGTTGATGCCACTCCTCCTCCTCTCATACTCCTTTCTTCCTCATGGCCTTGGCAACTTCGCGTGTTTCTTTGTTGATCATGCGAAGCTGCGTTAAGAGCCTCAAACGGTTAGGATTGCTCTTCTGAGACTCGACATCACTGATCATTCGTGTGACCAGCTGGTAGAAGTAGCTATCGGGTGCAAGACATTGGAGATTCGCCTGGATCGTGTTTGCACGATCTTTCTCCGCTGTTTCTCGCAAAAGCTGCACAAATTGAAGGTAAATGCAGCGAGTAAGACAGCAATCTTGTGCGCAAGTTCACAATCCACATGGCCTCCGTTCCACACATCGAGACTCTGCAGACAGATGGTCGCGACAAGGCAAGAATGTAGAACTCTTCACTGGAATCAGAGACAGTACCTGATTCAGAAGTCGGATTTCCGGCCGCAAAGTTGCCTCTTTCACCGAGAGGGCTGTTTGCAAAGTGGTCTCAAGCTTGCTCACAACTTCCAGATTACCTTCCTTCTTGGCCTTCCTAGCACCACGAGACCAAAAGTGCGGAAGATAAGATTTGGTAGCTTCGCCACACAGACAACCAACTGCTCCTTGAGAGTACTCGTGATTCAGACTCGCACATCTACCATTCACAAGGCTTGAGGTGGGAGAACGAATGTAAATTCGGACGAGCTTCGATTTGAAATTGAGGGACGTGATAGTCGACCACACATGGTCATGGGGCTGTAACTTCTACTGGAAGCGTGAATTGGCTCCAGGAGTTGCACTGCACCAACGAAGTGCTAGAAGCCCGATTAGAAGCTTAAGGGTTCAGAGAATGATGATTACCAGGTCCAGGTAGGTCGAAGCTATGATGAAGAAATCCTGTGACAGTGACTCCACGTGCTTCTCGGCAATGGCCTTCACATCATCAGTCTTCAACAACTCTGCTAACAATTCGGTGGCTTCCATTTGATTCTTCCTAGCTTTGGACACGGTGTCTGCACTCAGTGAGAGAAAGCTCATCAGTTCGCTGGTCTACTGACAGAAAATGTAACCCAATGATGTATCAAGCGTGAGCTGGACAAGCCATTGCAGGATACGGAGCAGACAACGCAAAGTCTTCGTCCATGAAACACTCCAACATGATTCGACACACTACAGATCGTGAGAATTTTCGAAATTCTCCATCTCGATGGACGTTTATATCCAATGGCTGGACAATTGGACTGAAATGCTCACTCTGACCTTTTTCCGAGGCCTGGCAAAGAATTCGAGGGCTGGCAGATGGTACGCGGAGCTGAGGCGAGGCCGAAGAGAACCGAACTCTCGTGAGCATCGTCATGTCACGGAGTCCCACACTCAAATTGCCTGCAGAGGACGTGGAGAAGAATGTCAGCATCCACGAACATCCATTCGCAAAGCAAATGCACACAGAAAATCCAATGCAATGGGGCACATGATTCAGCTCGTCGCGACTCACGAGCAGCAGGGGCTCCGGCTCGAGCCGCGCATGGATCCTTCCAAGCCAAACAGCTTCGTCCACCGAGGGCGGATGCCAAGGTCGACGAGGCGGCCATGGCCATCATGCTCCCTGCGAAAATTGCGCAGCCAGCCCTCCTGAGAAACTCGACACTGAAGACAGCAGCAACCCCAATCGGCCTTCAGCAGATTAGCTCGAGGGCAACAATGTCGAAAGAATGAAACCCTCTCTGTCTATGCCAATCGGAAGGACTGACGTCTTATCGCGACTCGGGACTGGGCAGGGAAGGCCGCCAACGGAGGACAAGTGCATAATTCGACCAGAAGCAAAGGGGGACAATATCTGCGGAGCCACCATGAGCCTGACAGACCACTTGGCACTTTTTTACGCGCTGAATTCTCGAGCCTGGAAACATTCGCCACAGTGCACGCCACAGAAGCTCTGACTTCCATCCACCCTTTGCGGCATCCAGTCCGTGCAAATTTGATGCCTGCCATGATTAATTATCACTTCTTAATTAGTAAACATAGAGTTTAGTATCATTCCCTATCATATGGCTTTGTCAAGCATTTTCTCTTTTCTCTCACGATAGTCTTAAAATGCCCTTTAATAATTTGTATATAGAATGTGATTTCGTCCCCATAAACATCATCTCTCGACGATTTTAAAGCTGGACAAGATCAGGGATATGAAAACTTTAAGGAACATATTTACGCCAAAACGGCAGATGATCGCATGTCTCGGTATTACTGGCATGTCTAAATGCGTGAGTGAGAGGTAGAATGGCTACTCGTGTTCTGAGATAATAATTTTCCGAATGAGTGCAACTTCAGATCGGAAGGACTGAGGGCTCTATGCGAGAAACTGAAGTTGGTTGAAACTAGAACCACGTTTCTGGAGGCACAAAGAGGCAGCGAGAAAGGATTCGAGAGGAGGACATTTATGGTGTGATACGAGGTCGAGCTTCGAACGAAAGAAGCGGTGACCGGATCAGTGCGCTGATGCGCTAGTGCCCCGTGCACATGGATGGAATGTTGCATCTTTGACGCTGTGGCGTGGCTGGAGGCTGTGGGACCGTCCTCCCGATCGACTAGGTCTGTTGCCTTCGAGGCCTCGCTGGGTGCTCTGTTCGTCGAGGCAGCGATCATGCGTGCTTTATGTTGTCGTAGGGAATGGATGACTTCTCTGCCGAGCCGGTCCAGAGCGATGTCGATGTCGATGCCGATGCGCGAGAGGTCTGCACTGTGAGCAGGTTGTGTCTGTTGCTGCCGCAGACGATTCTCCATCGTCCAGCACCCGTGTGCGGACGAGCCGCAGGTGTTTGTTCTGACGCTTTCATTGGAGTTTTCCGCTCGGTGGAACGGGGGCGGATTTCGAGCTTTTGGTCCGACACTTCAGTCTGTTGGCCTACTTTAATTCGCAATTACTTGCCGATCTTCTCTCCGGCTCATTCAACTCGATCGTTGTTTTAGCTGTGCGCATGAAATCTCAAGAGGAAGGAGGGCTGGACTACCCCAGACTTTACTGCATTCCCATACATTAGGATTGTGAGTTCTTCGGCGAAAGGATTTCGAATTTATACGAGATAAAAAAGATGGAAGGATTTTCAGGGGGCGCCGAATGGGATCAATCACACGAGGTATTGCGCTCTGTACTTCTGCCCCACATTATAGATGAGAAGGTCACTTCATCGAGTCCCCTGTACTTCCAAAATCACGTCTATAGATATATTTTAGAATTGTATCACGCACCATCGCACGAAGCAGAATTTGCCTGACCTTTTCCCTCTTTGGTTCAGATCGGAATTGAAGTTTGGAAAGCAGGTATGTTTACTTTGTATGCGAGTCGGATTGCTAAAGACTGAAACATCTTGGGCTCGATCGTACTTACTTTAACTGATCCTCGCGATGTTCCTAAGTTTACGGGCAAGAGGAAAACCTTATGTTATCCAGTTGCCCTTGCTGCTGATAATATTTTCATAGTTTTTTGTTGAGAGTAGAATGAGAAAGCTTGTCTTTCCAAGGGTCGTTGGCTGCCATATAGTGCATGAGCTGAACACTGAACAGTAGATAGGAGGCATTTCGGATTGCGTTTCATATCTGTGTACATATCGTAAACACGGAAGACCCGTTTTGAGATGAGCTTGCCTTTAAGAGTTGCAAGTTCTACAATCCCAGACACATCACTAAAATGTGTGCGGTTTATAAAGCGAAATTTTTGTGGCAGAGGGTCATGATGTTAATCTTTCGTGGATGTTATTGTGCCTGAAAATTCGCCTTTTTCCCCATTCTGCTGGACATGGATAGCTTTTACTGGAGAAGTTGTGAGGTGGAGGCTCTGCTTCTCCAATTCTAATATGGCTCTCTGTAATTTGGTGCACTTTCAGGTTAAAAGTCAGGTGGAGGAGCAAAAAGCTGTGTATAATGTACAGTGCTGGGGTTGCACTCAGTGGTTGGTGCTGCCTTCGTATGCGCCAAATTTCAAATGTGGATGGTGTGGAGCCTTGACTATCTACAAAGCTCCTCAACCTGCTCGTAGTCGGTGGTCCATGTGGCTCTTAACTTTCAGAGACCGTGCCTTTGTAACGATTGTATTGGCAATCATCGCCTCAATAGTATGTGAGCTCACAGATCCCTCTTCTGCATGAATTATTATAGTCATTGTCATGTATGTATCTGTTGTTTTCTATTAACACTAGATAAGTTGTTGCATGGCTTCTGTCTTCCGACTATTTTGTTCCCCCCGTGCATAATGCTCAGTAACAATGAACAAAATTATGTTACGACTTTTTACGATGTTTACTTGTGGTTATCAATTATTCACACAAATTTTTTTGGACTAGAGGATCATGATTGCAACTTCTAGCAATAGATCATTCTGGTTTCCCTCTTGCCTTTTCGTAAGGTAGTAGTCCTTCTAAAGGATTGATAGTAGTTTCGGATGCTGAGGATTTGGGACGAAGGAATAGGAAGTTTACCCAGATTTTTTCTTATCTTAATACAATAATACAGAAACTTACGATAAAAGGCAACTATCTTGCCCAGCTTTGACTTTGTGCTGCTCCTTATAGCAGAAATTTACTCCAATCGTGACTCTTCTTTGACAATCATGGTTTTCGTCCTAGGGCAGGTGCATGGGTCGGCCGGGCATTAAGGATATATGTTTCGTAGTCAATACTTACTCAACATATTACCTCTCAAAGTCTTGCTCTTGCGTTGTGATCTTAGTCGTCATACCCTTCGCTGTGGACCCCTTATTTGCTTGACGTGTGAATGCAAGTCTACTTGCACGCTTATGTTGTGGTAGTTCGTTATCCCAGTCCGCTTAAACTTTGCCAACCCTCTGCACGCTTTAGACAGTCTCTAACCTTTGATGATAAGATTTCACTGCACTTAAAGGACTATTTTGGTTCAAAATCTGGGTGTGAGAGTTAAAGTTTTATCAGGATTCGAACATACCATCAGTCAAAGTATCAACCTTTATTAGACATGGGTCTCTTCTGGTCAATCTTGTTTTTGGTGAAATTCTTTTGATCTCTTGTGTTGTGATTGAGAGATTCCAAAGTTTTCCTTGATTCAAAGGGCAGCCTCCTCCGTGGAGCTCTATTTCCCGATTTGTCGTTTATCGTGAGCAAAACTGTTCGCTCAACTAGTAGTTTGAAATTCTCCTTTCCTTCGTTTCTATGCCATCCATTATATTATATCGATGGCCCGTGGACATGGAAAGCCATCGAATTGCCGTTATTTTTTCCCCTGGTGTAGATAGCTACGCTAACTCCACATGTCACGGCCTCAGCGTTTGTCAATAATTTACCATGCATATCTGATAGTTATTTGATAAACTGCAGGTGGAGGCGTATGGGCAGCCTTTCCTGTCCTCTTCCCCACAATCAGTCTGGGATTGGTCTTCCATTCTTTAGTCACCGTAATCCTATTGTTCAATACCGTGTTCAATTTCGCGCTTTCTTCTCACGTACAAGCTGGCCCGGTTGGAAAAATCTCCTGGGGAGAAATAGGATTTGTTCCGAAGGGTGGTTTGGAAGGGCACACATTTTGCGACTATTGCCAATCTCCTAAACCCGCAAGTGCCCATCACTGTCGGAAATGTGCCACTTGCGTGATGGACATGGATCATCATTGCCCTTTTGTGAGTCACTCAACTGAGCCTTCTCCTTACTCTTTTTCCAGAGGCCATTTTGTTTAAAAGTATGTGTTTGCTTTTTATCTGTAGATTATATGAATAAGTTCTGTAATACAAGCGATTGTAATTTGCGGTGCTTCTGCTGCCGTTTTCACCTTTTCTCTTACGAGGAAGTGTCTGTACGATGCTTGAAGGATAGATGACTCGTGAGTACCACGTGCATTGCGAAAGCACGTAGTCCTTTCAGGTCATCTATCATACACACATCGAAAGTCTTTTTGGGTGAATTCAGCATTTTATGACTGATATCATAGTCCCAACGGGTTTTTTCGTTTCAGATTGGGAACTGCGTTGGAGCGAACAACCACCGGTATTTCATACTCTTCTTACTGTACACTGTGATCAGCTGTCTCTATGTTTTTGTAATGGGACTCTACACCGGCCTGCAGGTATGGCCATCAGTGATCAGCATCAATTACAGTCTAAAAAGGGTTCCTAGGCAAATACCTATGGGTCTTGCTTTAGGATCGCATATCCTTGCAGCTCTCATTGACAGTCCACTTTTACTATCGTCCAGAGCACTCGCTTTGATATATCTTGTTGTAGCGAGTATCGCTATCAGCACTGCCGTGGGCCTTCTGCTTTATCAGCAAGTAAATTTACTGTATAGTGGTGAAACATTCATAGACTCACTTAGTACATACACAAAATCGAAGGACAGGGAAGGATGGGACAATCTACGACGAGTTTTTGGAAACAGGCATCCTTTTTGGTGGCTCTTGCCCATATTTAGGACTTACTCTGATTCTTCTCTTAAGAAAATTCATGTCAGATAACCGCTATCGTTCCCGCCATACATGTCCGTCCCTACTTCCTTTTTTTATTTGTACACAAGATCAAAGATTACCTATCGTAGTTTAATGCCAGAAACTTCATTAACTAGGTGATCTTCTATCCACGAAATTAGATGCAATTTTTCTTTACCTTTTATTTGGCTTAAAGTTTTAAATGCTTACTCAAGGTGCAAGCTCATGTGGTAGTTGTATGAACTTGCATTCGTAGTCCGATATATACGCTACTTGACAATATGCTCTCGCGTTCTGACGAGTTGCCCCTCAATATGAGGTATCAAATACTTCTCTTCTCACAATCACCATGTGGGTACACTCAAGCGCTGGGTTGTGGAGCTGAAAGATAAATATACAAAGTCCAAATTGGGCTTTCATCGAGTTTGCATGTCTCCTTACCTCATTACCCCTGAGTGATATTTTAGTCTGTAAACGATCTGATTACTTTTCAGTATTTTGGATCGCTTGGATCTTTGTTGCACGTCGTTCTCCCTGCACACGCCCCTATCCTTTTTGGGCCCATTTTCCACTTCTCTTGTTCTCCTCTGTTTGTGATTATGTTCCTTCCGCCCATATCTTCTCCTCGCTACTTATTTAGGAGTGGAATGTATACATGGCGCTTACGTTCCAAGCAATCCACAAAGGTTCCAAACAGCTCACCTCTGGACCCTTGGGGCTTCACTTTATTTCACTGTGCCTCGAGTGTTAGTTTATGATATTTATACCGGACTACTTGTACCAAGCTCTCAGTTGTGATTTTATGTGCGGTGTTAACAAGTGCATGTCTTTTCTTTTCTTATCTTGCTGCTTGGCACGAGTTCTTATCATCCTTATTGCTGGTTACGTCTTCAGGTTGTGCAATTCGGGGATTGTTGTCTGATGGTGTAATGACTTGCAGCTTTGAGGAATGTACTGATGGTTACAGTTTTCTTGTTGTTACATCTTCATAGATATATTGTTGTCTCCATATTGGTCTTGCTCGATATTGAACTTTCTATTTTATTCTTGGGCGTGCCATTTTTGTAGGTACAATAACTTGCATTGCGTCAATAATCGATTTCATTATGCCGGTGATTGAAATGCGGAAAATCTTCTTTTTTGTGTACACCAGAGTCCTGCAATGGGTACCCATACCCATGGGTATGGTATCCATTGCAGTACTTTGATGTCCACCTCCAGAATAATCTCTTCCGCAACCCTTTACGGGCCCGACAAATGGAGTCAATCAGCAGGCTCCACCCAAAAATCACGAGACATTCTGCTTGGGCAATGGCCATGTCATGAGTTTGAAGAGCTCGCTTGCATATAGTGACATTATGTATTGACTGTCGATCTATCACGTGTTCATGTTTTTATTATATTGTTGGTTAAATACAATTTCGCAGCTTGAAGTGAAATTTTATATTATCCGAAGTTTCTTCTCAAAATTCTGATTACGAAACTCTTGTCACATGATTTGTACTTCTCTCGTTCCATTGTGATGAGTCCGTTGAAGCTATTCATGTACTTATCGATATGTTGGTTAAACACAATTTCGCAGCTTGAAATGAAACTTTAACTGTCCAAATTTCTTCTCAAAATTTTCATTGGCGCGTCACTGTTTTAAATAAAACTTCAAGTGCTCTTAAGTAACTTTATTTTGGTGATGGACTCATGGGTATGAGTTGGGTATGGACTTATAGATAATGGGTGTGGAAAAGTTACCATGGGTGGTACAGTTGACCCATTCATGGGTATGGGTTGGGTAAAGTTTCGAAGCTCAATGCAGTACTCTGGTGTACAGTGCTCAGTTTCTCTGATTTCCTTTGGATGCCTTTGATTTTATACGTTGTGCTCACAGGGAGCGAACGTGTGTATTCTCGTATACCTACTGAGTGACTTATATATTCTGTCGGTCTCCTTAGGTGCTTTATTCGTCGCCTTTTACAGGCCAGTAGCAGTTCCATTCCTACATCATGACTTGCATGGTTGTCACTGTCGCCACATTCACTTGTTTTAGCGATTTTACTAGTTACTACGTCGACCTACGTCTGTAGAGTAGAGCGATGCACATTCACTGGCTGTTACAGATCACGATCTCGGGATGTGAGACCGGACCGGAAGTATCATTCCATAAAATTATAAATGTATCTGGTTAGGAATTCAATCAGAATAGAGAAGAATATATATTCAGCTTACATGTCTACATTTTTCATATTTTTAAGACTGGATTCAAGAGAAGGGAGACTAGTAACAGGTGCTACATTGGCGTGGCGCTTTTGCACATTGTCAGTATCTGCTGCACCTTTTGGTGTTTCAGTTGGACATGAAATTTTCTGCCGAGTTAACTCGCAGGCCCTGTCATCTCTGCCCTTATTTTCTATTTAGAATTTTTTTTTAGCTCGAGTTAGTAGCACGCAATGGATGTCTATGCAAATATGAAACAGATGGGGATCTACATGTACGTCGCGATTTGCTGCATATGACTTGTTGGGTAGGAGACATAAAATATTCTTGCTGCCATTAGCTGTGGAAGTGTTTAGGTTTAGTCGTGAAAGTGAACTTGATTATGGTAAAAGTGGGTAGGGTTAATATTTGCAGATTTTGATGTAAAGAGATTCTCAAAAGTTTTTGTAGCAAGTAGTCAAGTAATAGATGAGCCGGAGCAAGTCGTAGAATAACATATCACACAATTTATGATGAACTAGACAAATACGCAGTTGATGACCCCAAAGCTAGTTAAGTAAAGATGTGATATTAAGTTTAATTTTCAACTAGTAGGGGTGTGGATATTGTATTAATTGCAATGCTATTTCACATAGGACTTTTGCGACAAAATACGAAATGTTAAGGTGATCGTTGCCATAAAAAATACGTCAATCTAAGATGTAACACGCACAAAGAATGTCAGTCTGTACTTGTTAAAGTCGCAATTAACACGATGTCATTGGTAAGACAAGCATAAATTATATCCCCATTTCCAGATTGACAATAAAAGACGTGCACTAGATAAAAACAAAAAAACAATACAACAACAGAATGCAACCTGTACATCAAGCCAAAACAGCTTTAATCAACAAACTTGATGCATAGTTAAACCGAAGTGGAGTTGGTGAAATTTTTTTCCCATATCTCGTGGTTTGATATTTTCAAAAATATTTACTGAAATAAAAAGTAGATTAATAGATATATGTATTATAATTGGAATTTCAAGAAATTGTAACCATTGTAAGGTAGAAATAATTTTATTGAAATTGTTTTGATGATTGATTGAATTGAGATAATTGTATTTTCAATCTCAATATTATCAAACAGAACATACGAAAACATTAATTAGCCCTGGCTGCCGAAAAACAAGACACACCTCGGTCTATAGAAAACCGGCCGGCATGACTTTGCAGACAGTAAGACAACAGGAACCGACACGGCCCCAAGAAGAAGGTCGGCCATGACAGAAACTGTTGCCCTAAACTGGCCACCAGATGCAGAACGCTGAGAGAAGGTCGGCATTACGGACGTGGACTGAACGCTCAATTAGTCTCGGACCCAATGTTCAGTACATCCCACACAGTCCCACCGCCTTCCTCCCTTCCTCCCTTGGGCAGAGTTAGGTCCAGCACCGGCTCCACCACCGAGAGTGCAGCGGAGGCTTGACGCCAGCACCTTCCGGTGCGTCGGAGTGAAGCCAGCTCAAGGTGCGCGCATGAAGCAAGTGCAAATGCCCAAATGCGATCGATCAAGGGGAAAGGCAAAGGTGCAAACATGACTCTTCCTCGGACTGACTCACTCACTCACTCACTGACCGACCGACCGTCTGACTGACTGACTGACAGACTGTGCCGACACGCAGTCTGCAGGAGCAGGAATCGACGAATTAAGTCGAGCAATCAAAAGATGGAGATCGACAGAGTTCAGCTCCGCTCCTGAAGCTGTGAAAGGAAGGAAGCTGAAAGGAAGGAAGGAAGGAAGGAGGGAGGGAGGGAGGGGTTAGTCAACTGCGAGAGGCGATCGCTGTTCGGGGTTTGAATCCGGCCCGGGGGACGAGACGTTGTTTGTTTGGGGTATTATACACGGTACATGTTGCGCGAGGGGAAAGCACCACCGGACAGTGGCTTCGGCTCCACTCCAGCTTCGGCCCCCAGCCTCGGATTTGGATAGAAGCCCGTCGAGCAGGCGCGGGGGAGTGTGGCAATTGTGCCCGGGGTTTAATACGTGGCTTTGGATCGGCGGGGGCACGTGTCGTGGCCCGCTCTCCGGGCTTAAGAAGAAGAAGAAGAAGCCCCAGCGCTGTCTCGCGCTCCTCCTCCTCCTCCTCCTCCGCCCCTCCTCTAGCCCCAAGCCCAAGCCCAAGCCCAGCCCCCGCCTCCCTTCGTGCCTACTTCTCGTCCGGCAGCTCGGTCGGTGAATTGGCATCGCCAGGCTTCGCTTTTCAGTCGGCGAGCCGAGGGAGGGAGGGAGGGAGGGAGGGAGATGGTGGGACGGAGGGCTCGGGACTAGCCCGACTCGTTGGCTGTTTTGACTGTCGTGCGCAGCAATTCTGCTCTCGGCCTTCTTCTCCGTTGCCTTCTTCCGCTGCGGCTTCTTCTCGTTTTCCTCGCCGTCGTCGTCGTCGTCTTCTTCTTCTTCTTCCTCTGCTGCTGCTTCCGCTGCTCGTGGTCCGAGAGTGTTGTAAATCTTTCGTTCGGTCGTCTCTCCTCGGCCCGGGGCGTAGCGCTGTGTTGCGAGGTGGGTGTCGAGGCTTGGATTAGATTAGATTGGATTGTATTGGCGAGGGAGGGAGGGAGAGAGAGGGAGCGTGGGCTAGGATGTTCCGGAAGGGCAATGCTGTTAGTCGGGTGAGTTTGGAATTCGTTTCGGCCGGAAGGGAGCATGGAGGTGAAGGTTGTTGCTGCTGCTGCTGCTGATCAGTAGGCAGTGCATGTGCGCGAGAGCGAGTGGTGGCGCTGGTTGTTCTGTGGATTTGAGGATCAATCGAGAAGATTGTCAGCGGGCGAGTGAGTGATTGAGTGAGAGAGTGAGTTGAGTGCCGTCGTGCTCGGCGATCCCATGGTGAAGGCGTTTCCATGAGGTCCCCATGGGCCTCCTATTTTTCATTCCTCTGTTGACTTTCATCGGATTGAAAGTGAGCCACTACATCTTTCTTGTGACAGTTCAAAGTTTCGTTGCTTTCTTCACCACGTTCTGGTGGGTAGATCGTTCGATCTCTTCTTCCTCTAGCAGCAGCAGCAGCAGCAGCAGTAGTAGCACGGCGGCCAAGATGGCAACTTCGAGCGGCAGTTCCGGGAGTAGTGGTGGCGGACCTCCGTCGCCGTCTGCCTCCCGCTCGCTGGTGCAGTACCTAAACCAGATTCTGTCCATGAGAGGGCCCAATCAGCTTCCTTACGATGAAGAGGTGAAGTGGGCAATCAGGCAAAATCTGCTGGCTGTGATTAAGGACTACGCTGGTCTGCAGGTGAAAACCGGCAGCTTCACTCACAATGATGGGCGCACGACCAATCTTCTGCAGGTGTATGGCACCATACCCATGTTCTTCAAGGAGGTGAAGTACAACATTCCCGTCACAATGTGGCTGCTGGAGGCGTTCCCCCGAGTCGCGCCCATGGTGTTCGTGACTCCCACGCAGGACATGGTTATCAAACATCAGCATCGGTTTGTCGATGCTTCCGGGACCGTGACCATTCCCTATTTGTCGCAGTGGATCTACCCTCGTTCCAACTTGTTCGAGCTCGTGCAGAATTTGTCGGAAGTTTTTGGACTGGATCCTCCGCTTTACTCTCGCCCGCCTGTTGCTGCCACTGCGCATCACAGAGTGCCCAATTCGTCATCGTCTTCGCAATCACCCCGCACCTCATCGATTCATCATGGCACGAATCCGATGAACGCATCTTCCAATCTCGGACCGGGATCACCACGGCCGCAATCGCCAGCTGCAGCTTCGTTTCACGGGCCCCATCGCCTTCAGTCGATGAACCCTCCTTACACCGTCAGTCCGGGGTCGTCCCCAAGACCGCCCTCGCAGTTGAAGTCAGAGAATCCCGTGGAAGTGTTCAGACACAACGCCGTCAATGCTCTGTCTGAGCGTCTTCATCGTGATATGAACACGATGGTGAGGCGGGCAAATACCGACATGGATGAATTGTTCAACACGCAGGTGATCCTCAACGAGAGGATCGAGATTGTGGATCAGGGATTTCACGAAATGCAACGCGAGAAGGAATTACTGGAAGAAGAATTGCAGCTGTATATGACCAATACTATGGAGATGGAATCATGGTTGAGGCACAACGAGGGTGACAGGTCCGAGCTCGACATCGATCGGGTGTTTGAGCCTTGCGATGCTCTTTCGAACCAACTGCTGGAGAACACAGCAGCCGATTTAGCCATCGAAGATATTCTTTACTCGTTGGACAGGGCAGTACAGGAAGGTGTTATACCCTGGGACAACTATTACAAGACTGTAAGAAGTCTTTCCAGAGAGCAGTTTTACCTCAGGGCCACTTGTGCCAAAGTTAAGGCAGCACAAAGACACAACCAGGTAGAGGGCATGGCATTCAGAGCGTCCATGATGTCCGTTTCATGACATTGAATCCCGAATTCCTATTTAGCGTATTTTTTTGAGTTGAATCTACTGAAATTTGAGCTTGCAAATCGATAAAGTCGGGTGTACATAGCAGTCAAAACCCAATTCATGTTAATGTACTCATATTCAGATTAGGTAGTGACGAACGTAGGGAGATGATATGATTCTTAGGCAGGAAGCTTTGGCTGTTGGAGGAGCTGGTCCTCCTTGATGTGGACTTAGTGATCGATAGAGCAACCAAAGTGAGTAAAAGACTGGGTTGGTCCCCTATTTCTTAAGAAGCCCTGCGAGCCCGGTGGATGTGCACATTCGTGCTGCGTTGTGTTGTTTTACACTCTTGACATGTGACTGCATGAATCCGATGTTAGAAAGCAGGTGTTGAGACTGGTTAGGGATGAAAATAAAGAGAGAAAGTTGGAGATGTCTGGAGAGTAGACATTCAGATTCTTAGCGACAACTATCTGTTCCCCCTCGGATTATTTCCACGTATGTATTCGAGCTTGGAATCATATTTCAGTGACTTCACGCACAGGAGGAACGACATCCTGCTTCGGTTTTGTCGGCTGCTGCTCCTGACCGACTTGCGGTTTTACTGTCATCTCTTCTCTATCGGTGTGGAGCAGGATTTCGCCCATGAATTGGGTCAGCAACTCGAACGGAGAACTAGATTAGTGATGAATGCACCACGGGACCTCGGGTAGTTATGAGCTCACAGGGTTTTCTCAGGTTTCTCGGGTTTACGTTTGGCCCTAGGTCTCGAGTTTCAGTTTCTGGTGTAAATCAGGCATCAAACCAGCTTAGAGATTATTAGAATCTGTACTCGTTGATCTAAAGTTCTTCCCATGATCTGTTAGAGAACGTATACAGCGTGCTAGTCACGTGATTCTGAGCGATTCCGATATACATACCGTCGTGTGACGCATTTTTTCTATAAGTTTAACTAGTGTCGAATCGAGTGCTCGTCGTTCGTTCTCGTGTTCCAGTTGATGACGTGATTACATACATTACCGCTAGAGAACCGTCAATGGAGTTTTGTTAAGCTTACGCGATGGGGTCCTGTAATCGACACACACGGGTATGATGAATCTACGCTCTCTGTGACTGTCTGAGGTCCAGAATCTGTGAAGAGCTTGCAACAGATATGGCTGCTTGACCCCACCACCTCTAGAAGTGCTGTGAAACAGCAGGAATAGCAGTGTGCAGAGTAGAGTCAAATGTTTTGAACGGGGAACTTCTGAAGTGCATCACACATGGTTCACGCAATCACAACGGTGAAAGTGTTCAGCAGTCTACAGAGTAGTCTCTACCTGCGCCCGACTAAACATTGTTTTAGCACCTAGGCTCGTGACACGGTAACCATGTCATTGTGTGGAACACCGAGCACATTCTGTACTGGCCTTGGGAATCCTTCTAACTGATCACCACGGTGAAGGGCCTATGCAGGAAAGACAACACTTGACTTCGGCTGCTTCTGGTGTCCCGACGTCAACCAGTATGCCATGACACGCACTCCCGAAGTGATATTGTAATACGGAAGAATTAAGGCGAGCAGATCAGCGACATGGCCCCTCCACGAAGCTCCTCACCATTCGTCGAGAACTGAAGCCCCGACTCAAGTGGCCCCTTCTTTCACAGCTCGAGGTAGCTTCAGGTTTGAGCCAGCCTCAGGATGAGAGTCTCTCGCCCCACAGTGTTTTGACACCGCTGCTACCTTTTCAGACTCGGTCTGCACAATATCTGGTGCCTATGTCAGCATGGGACTCCAATGGATGTGTAATTAGATGCGTTCGTAGGCTTGCTACTGAATGACTTCTTCGAGGCCCTCTTGCGGCCCAGATTTTGTCGCTTGACAATCGTCGGGAAGCTATTTGGAGGATTGTCCCACGGGACCTAGACTTAGGATGATGATGTGAATATCGAGAGGTTGACAAGTCTTGAACGATGTTTGTTCGTGAGTCGATAAGCTCGTCTCGTGTCGTATCGCTAGAGCTTTACCGACGATCATGGCTCATGACTTCGACACTGAACGGAATTCTTCAGCACCCCGCATCATGCCCCACAATGGATGAGCTAAATTGTCCAACTCTCTGCTGCCAGCGAAGAAACGAGCATCACGGCGGGGTCAGAACTCGAAGGGACACGACTGATGTCAGCGGAATCATTTCCAACCCGTTTCCTCGTGTCAGGCCCGGAAGGACAGAATTTCGTCCTTCATGGAAGCCATGTGATTTTCGACATATTCGGGAACGAGCATTGTCGGGGGCCATGGCTTGCATCGGGCAAGTTGACCGGCAGATCACAACTTGTGAATTGCACATAAAGTCATCAAATGCTCGGCTGGTTGGATTTGGTTCGGAACAGTTGAAGACGAAACGGTTGCTTCGGACATTCATGTGAGCCTGGCTTTGACGGACGACTTGTCAAAGATCCGACCTCAAAATCGAAAATCGGATACATCCCTGAAACCACGTTTCTCTCGTTTGCTACCGAAACGAGCGAAACTAGTCCATGAGTCTATGGAAGAGATAGCGAGTTGAATGATGGTGGACCTACTTGGCCCCAGTATTCACATAAAGGAGCTCGAGGAAGAAGAGAAGAGCACCGTGAATCTGCCCGCCCTTGAGTATAGGTACATGGCACGAAGTGCAGGTCCGAAAACCACCCAGGAATTGATTCAACTTGCAGAGACTGAAGTGAAAGATTTGCGGGAGCTTTCAAACGCTGCCCGACCTCGCATGGATGCTGGACAGATTACTCGATTCTCTGGCGGGTGGATGGTTCCGTGTGCTGGAGAGTTCTGGTCATCTATTGACCCGATCGATGAAGAGCAGTGAGAAGAGCTTTCTACTTCAGCGATGGAGGATGCACCCAGAGATCCATGGAGATGGTAGGCCCGAGCGAAGTCATGCTTAGCAAAGCTACTTGTCGCCCACGACAGAAGGGTAGAACCTCCAAAACCTCTCATCGAGCTCATTCGAGCCCTCTCCTCGATCCTCAATCCTCAATCCTCACCCAGTACAGCGAGCAATCATGGGCAAGGCAAGGCAAGGCAAGTCCAGCCCAGAGCTCATACTTCCCGTACTCGGTACTTGAATCTTGGTCGGTCCTATTACCGATAAAGCCTGCAGTCCTCGACCACCTCCTGAGCCCGCTGCAGCTCTCGCTCTGGGCCGAAATTGTCCATGCGTGAGGCCATCCATGTCCTCGGGGACGTACTCGGTCCCAGCGCCGCAGGAAAGTGACGAAACGAGACCGATCCCGCGAGTGCGCACCCGGAGAATGGTAGAATCGCGAGCTGTCTTAAAGTCGGGGGCCATGTTTGCACAAGGGGTAGGTGGCTTTCGAGACGCCTTGTAACGCCCCGGATGCAGCCACACCGCTTCCTCCATCGGCCGTGGCCCAGGACGAGAACTTCCGTGATTCGGTGGAAATCCTCGATTCCAATTGTACTCGAGATGCTCAGTCAATCAGTCCGTCGGTCTCCCAGGTCAAATCTAAGCCGAGGCCCCGAAGATGACGAACTTGAGCTGGGAGGACAGGTGCCCTCGTACTTGGAGGTGGAGGACGAATCTCAGAAGTTAGAGCTGAGCAGCAGCAGCAGCTGAAGAAGGGGAAGATGCGTGGACCTCGTCAGCTCTCCCATGGATGCTCCAAATGTGAGGCCTGCATCCATCCATTCTTCCTTCCATCGTTCCAAGTCCTCGGCTGAGCTCTCGGAGCTCCTTTTGGCAATTGAGTCGAAGTGGATCCGGGCGCCAGCTGTCTGGACCAGAGCCGAGCTTCAATGCACTTGGCCATCGGCCACTGGCCTCCACTGCGCTGACTTGAGCGCGTTGCCTCGACTTGAGACAGAGCTTCCTTCGACACCAGCAAAGAAGAAGGAATCAGTGTGGAATCGAGAGCGCTGCAAGGAAGGCTCACACGAACACTTGTCTCTCTGGATCTCAAAGAATCCAGCAGAGCGACACGCAAGGCTCGACTTCCACCATCTGCATGTGACGTCCGTCTATTCTAATAGACGAAGAACCCCTGTGACGAATTGTAGATCGAAAAATCCGATAAGAGAGCTCCGGCTTTGAGAAGAGTAGCTGCGTTCGAATGAGACTAGCAAATGACAACTTGTACAAATAAGCGAGATTATGAACTTATGCGTGCAGAAAACTTTCCAATACATGTTTGTAGATTCCATCTAAACACATATAGATCAAAGATCATCAAACCGGTATCCTATGGCGTGAAAAATACTGGATGAGAGTTAGGATCACAAAGAAGAGCAAGTTTAACTAGCTTCCTATGATCAAAACTCGGGAGTAGAAACTATGTTAGAATGTTCAAGCAAATTCACTGCAAACTCATCCAAGAATTTGAACATAAATCTTGCTAAACAAAAATCTTTAACAAAGCAAGCAATGATATTAAGTGAAAATCAGAGTGGATTCAAATCATACAACATGTTTTTCATCAGAGTGGATTCAAATTCAATTCATGTATGATTGTGCTTCTAGCTCGACATCTCAAGGAGTGATAATGATTCTCACCGATTTCAAATTTTACAATAGTACTATGTCAAATTTCACATATCCACCAACCTCATTGTTAAGCACTTGACATCGTTTGCATCATAATTTTCACCCAATCAAAATTTTCAAAATTTATTTCTAAGTCTAGAATTGCAAATTCTCTATACTCAACTCTAGCAATCCTCCCCAATCAAGCCTTGTGTTCCATGACATGTTTGGATGATTTTATCTTTGTCTCTTGTGCCTCATCAACTGCAATCATGAGAGATGAAAATCTCTTCCAAAAAAGCTTACTTCAACTCGTCTCTATGAATATAATCATCTTTAGTTAGTTAGAACTAAAGTAGAGGTTATTGAACATTGAGTATAGTAGATAATACTAGAATATCTACAATGCCACGTCAACAATACATGTGCTAGTTAGTGTCTTACTTGATAACGACACATCATCAATCCGTGTACTTGTCAGGTTAGGGTTGAGTATGCTAGTTGGTGTGTTAGTTGAAGTCACACCAATCCGTGTACTTGTCAGGTTAGGGTTGAGTATGCTAGTTGGTATGTTAGTTGAAGTCACACCAATCCGTGTGCTTGTTAGGTTAGGGTTGAATATGCTAGTTGATATGTTAGTTGCGAGTGACACATCACTAATTTGTGTGCTTATTAAGTATATCCGCCATGTCACCAATCCACTAGGAGTGGATTGGATGATGAGTATGAAACCTTATCTCTTTGTACTCGTTGGTAAGAGCTATATAAGGGAGAGGAAAACCATTGTTGGTATCTCTCATCTTCAGAATTTATGTTTCATCTTCGAGTGAACTTTTCTCTAAACCCTAGTGTTACAATGAGATATCTTTTGTCGATAAAGAATTGCAACCTTGTAGCATATTGCAGTCTGAGGTTCAACTTTGAAGCTGTACAACTTGACTCGAGTTTTGTTGTGCATCCGCTTGCGCGTCTTGTGATTACACTTGTCACCGAAAGACTCTGAAGAAAGTTTATGAATTCGGATCAGGGTAGGAGATAGACATTTAAATTAATCGTTCATCTGCACCCAAACCAATTGTGGATGCATAATTTTCAGTTGGAATTATAGATCAGATGGATTAATGCGGCGTGCTAGAAATGGACAGAGTCAGTAATCAGCTTTCCAACTAGGTTGGGTGAATTCTTCGCAAACTACTAAAGAGTTGATAGGCATTGCCCATTTATGTAATCCTTGACCAACTCCACAAACTCCAAACATAATTTGGTCTCAACATTCATGCAAAATTAATGGTAATATGAATATGTAAAGTAGGTCAATGCCATGAATGCAAAATAGATCAAGGCTAATAGTTCATGAAGCAACTTGACAAGCTCCTCAATATGATAGTACTCCAATAAATAAAAAAATTATAATAGTCTCCTTTGAAAGTGATACAATGTGGATCTTGATCAATAAAAAACACGTTGAAATGGAGGAAAATGTAGAAGCATCGTACTCCAAATGTCTAGAGGCTGCACAAATGGGCCGTAGAAAAACTTTCATGACTATTTATCGCTTCCAGAAGGCGATATCCAGAACCCGTTGCTTCACAATTTCATGAATATCAAAATTCAATTCACCAACATATATGGCGGAAGGAAGAAGAGAAAGAATCATCTTGAACTAGTTCAACCAAGCGTATATATACAGGCTTGTGGTCCAACGAGATTTGATGAATATAATGAGCACATAAGCAATTCCAAGTTTCTTTTTATACAATATGTCATAGAGAGAGAAGAGTAGATGAGTATTGTAAATGGTTTTCACTAGGTATATAGTCTCATGAATACTTGTTTTCAGAATATCGCACTTCTTAAAAATATCCAATGTGAAATTATTCAAATTATGTGGAGTACAGCCAAATGCAACATTGAAATTTGGCAACTCCAACACCTTCATGCGAAGCAAAGCCATTACACTTGGACTATCCGAAGTAAATGAAAACAGCAATAGATTAGGAAAAAGCCAATAGACATCTTGGATTTGCTCCACATCTGCAACTAGAGCAGCTAAAGTCACCATCAATTGCTCATTCTGTGAGAACCTCCAAAGATAAAAATCTTAGGATTAGCCTAGACCCGAAATTAGAACTTGTATTACTTTTCATTTTTTTCTTAAGAAGATAGAATAAGGGTTAGAAATGATTCATTTAGTAGTTAAGCAAAACCAGATGAACAAATAAAGTAAAGTGAGTTAAAATTAGTTACTACTTCAATTTTGAGAGTTGAGCAGAAAGAATTCAGTCACTCCTTTTGTTGTGAAAGGAGAGCAGAAAGAAGTGAATCACCCCTTCGGTTCCGAAAGGCTAGTAGAGAAAAGTCAACCACGAAGTCAAGAACGAAGGCGGGGACAAGGTGAAAAAGCCAAAGATCAAGTAGGTAGGGTAGCAGTGATTTTTGGATAGAAGTAGGATTTGAAATCCAGACTATTCGCAGGAATAGGATTGGAGAAATTTTAGGAGTTAGGGCTTTTGAGTGGGTTTTCGACAGCGCCGCTTTTGTGTGGCCTCTGCTTATTTAAGTGGAGCTTGCGGGGTTGACCGGATCTTTGTTCTTGCATATTTCCTTTTCAAATGCCCTATCAGTAGAAAGTATCGTGTTTTACTATGTTACTGTTTTTCTGGCTTCTTGTTTGAGTGTTGTCGATATGAGAGAAGCAAGACTCCATTGCAGACCAAATGTGAAGGTGAGTGAAGTTGTAAGGCAGGACCCAGGTCGTTCTAGACTCCGAGATTGAGCAGTGGGTTTATTGATATGTCGTGGAAGTTGAAGCGTCGTTCTTTGGATCTCTAATAATCTCACATGGAAACATCGTTGCTAGGGTTAGAGCACGCTGAGGTATACTTGGTTTGACTCACCTAAACTTCTCGAAAGTTTTCGTCTACAATGAGAAGAGTAGATTCAAAGGTGGAACGAGTCGTCTAGAGATCGTCGGAACATAGCTCTCACAAATGCAGATCGGTTTGTCGTTGTAATCTCACGGATTGGAAAGTGTTCACTTGTGTGACCTGCTAGCTAGAATGTTTTAGATTAGTTGTGAAGTGAACTCTACCAGATTACGTTGGGGTTTTTCTTTTTGAAGCGAGAGAGAATGAGAGGAAAATAGATTAGAATCATACGCCTATAATCAATCTCCAAATTTGGACTATGATTAGACGAGAATTATGAGCGGTTTCTGACATTACATTAACAAATCCTCGGAACGAACTCGGAATCACACATATAGCAGAAATATAAGCTTGTTTTCTTTTCAATCGGAAAATAAACACATTTCAGTGTTCCGATATCTTCGTCTCCACTAACTTGGCTTGAAGATTGCGAGCATTCTCTTGCAATTCTATTGCAAAATGCTGGAAAAAGAAAGCTTGTGAAATACATGTCATTAGATTCAATAGCTGTTTGATTTGCACGTTTGTGGCATCATCTAGAGAGAATCAAAAGAAGAATATTACTGCAGACTACGAAATATCTTGTTCATGACATCTGCGTACGAAGACATCAAAAGAGTGGTGCTCATAGTTTGAGATGTAGAAGGAGTACAAACAAGTCAAAGCACATAAAAAAATTTCTACCGTAATGCATGTTTGAAGAAAGTGAATGGAGTAGACGTATGATGCATAACATTTTCAAACATACTGTCCAGATTATCATGATTATCTACAAGATAAGAATCAACGAAAGACCATGTATTGGTTCGACAAAGATTGCTAATCTATGAGAAGATATTGCCTCATCATTGTAACACTAGGGTTTAGAGAGAAGCTCACTCGAAGATTGAAATGAAACTCTGAAGATGAGAGATCCTAACAATGGTTCTCCTCTCCCTTATGTAGCTCTCACTAACAAGTACAAGGAGATAAGATCTAATTCCCACCATCCATCCCACTCCTAGTGGATGGATGACGTGACGCACCCAACTAACACACTAACTAACACACTCAATCCTTAACTACAAGCACACGGATTGCTGACGTGGCACTGTCAACTAACACATCCACTGTGTACCTACCAAGTGCGCGGATCGCTGACATGGCAGCTATGACTAATGCACACTAAAGTATCTACATCAATATTTGGAGTAACCTCTACTTTAGTTCTAACTAACTAAAGATGGTTACAAACCTCACTCCTTTTAAGATACAACATACTCGTTGCACATACGTTCAAACTCCTGAACTATCAAAGGTGCATTTGTTAAATTTTTAGCTAGTTCTCAAGTTGATTCATACAATGGATAGACTTTCCATTGAATCAAATACTCTACTTTGGGATATTTATGACCTCGAATACGTTTCTTGAGTATCTTTTCTACTTCAAACTCCTCATGATATGCTATCAAGGTTCGAAGAGGAGGTGATGCTGGTTGGTTGGTGAATTGTTTTGATCGTGATACATGTTTTCGCAATCGTGAGACATGAAATAC